GAAGATCCCCTGGAGAAGGGAAAGGCTACCTACTCCAGTATTCTGGCCTGAAGAATTCCATAGACCGTATGGTCCATGGGGTCAGAGTCGAACACAACTGAGTGACTTTCACTCACTTTTGATGATTTTTCTGTAAAATCTTAAAAATGAATTTATCCCATTGATTATTTAAAACTGTGGACTAGGGGGAGTTCCCTGGTGGTTAGGATTTGGCACTTTCATTGTTACTGCCTGAGTTCAGTCCCTAGTTGGGCAATTGAGATTCTGCATCCTGCAAGCCATGAGGCATAGCATAAAAAAACCCCTTCTGAACTAGGATTTTGTGTAGTGTGAAAAATCATACAATGGTATAGATGATAGAATGAAATTATTAGATGTAATCTTCCCAAACAATCCAGGTGACAATCAAGTACATTTATGATTATAGTTAAATGAAGGCAAAGAACTATGTTTCCTTTTCCTTTTTTAAATTACCTATATTTTTAATATTTTTCATGCAGCAAAATATATTAAATTAATAAAAACAAGTAACATCAAATTTTAAAATCAATTTAGTGTTATTAGTATTTTCATTTTTTAACTTCATGAAATACATTATCTTATATCCTTATCACTCAGTTACTTATTACTTTTAGTAAATAATAAGTGATTAGTTTCCTTTACTTCAAGAAGTGGGAAGTGGAATGTGACTGCTTTCTGACTTAGTCACTCAGTAGTGTCACTACTACCGACTTAGTCACTCAGTAGTGTCCGACTCTTTGCAGCCCCATGGACTGTAGCCTGACAGTTTCCTCCGTCCATGGGATTTTCCAGGCAAGAATACTGGAGTGGGCTGCCATTTCCTTCTCCAGAGGATCTTTCGGAGCCAGGGATCAAACCTAGGTCTCCCGCTTTGCAGGCGGATTCTTTACAGTCTGAGCCACCAGGGAAGCCCTTACAAGTGTAGGGTGACTTCACTGTTGCTCTTGGACTCCTTCTCCATAGGTTTCAAGAATATCTGTTCTAGGATAGGCAAGGCAAGAACTTTCCAGGAGAGCATTCGTCTTTGTAAATTGTGGGGACTAATTAGAATCAATGTACTTGACTCCAGGTACATGTCTCAGAGTCTTTTTTGTTTTCAGCTGTGACAGGTCTATAGTTATTCCGATTAACTTTTATTTCTACTTAAGAATAAATTAGAACAGTGTCTTTCTGAAAATCTCACTTCTTTCATTTACTGATGTATAAGATGATGTGTACAAAATTTTGTTCTCCCAGCAAAGGATTTTTATTTTTTGTTTTCAAAAGAAAGTCATTCCTAGGTCCTTTAAGTAAATACTCTCTTTCAGATCTTAGAAATAGCGTCAGAGTAGAGTAGGGGATAGGAAGGAAAAACAGACACATTAGCTTTCTGTCCTGGGAGCCCCTTGAAGGTCAAGCCCAAGGAGTAGTTTTTTTCTTAAAATTTTATGTAAGTTGGTGGAATATGTTTTCATTTATTAACCAGTGGCTATGATACTTACGTTGATTTGACTATCTCTTAGATATCTTGCTGATGAGGACAAGTTTTTCCCTGAAATTTTTATTAAAACTGCTAAGAAATAGCGTAAGAATGAATGCTTTGAAGTCACTGGAAATTTAAAATACATTGTTCTTGTCTTCCCAGGTAACTTGTAAGCTATTTGTCCATTAAAAAAATTTACGGAGTGCTCAAAATGTACCAGGTATTCTAAGTTTTAGAACATAGCAAAGAATAAAATAGACCCAAAAACCTGCCTACAAGGAGTATATGTTCTAGTTGAAGGAGACAGCAATAAACAAAACAAATGAGTCGTAGAGAGCAAAGTAAATAAAGAAGGAAAGGGGTGGAGGAATGTCATTGGATGGGATGGACTTTGGAAGATCTGAGAATGTGACATAAGAGAAAAGATCTGAAGGAGTTGTGGAAATAGCCATGCAGGTATCTTGGGAAAGAGGGTTAAGAAGTTTTGAAGTAGAGAAGTAGCATGATTCTGTTTAAATTGTTCTTTTCAAATGACGTTTTATTCTTAGTGAAAAGTTCTCCCCATTGTTATGAATTGTATGTCTTGTACTTGTTAATCTATTATAGTCTTTATGTTTTTTAACTGCATGTATTGATTTAAACACACTTCTCTTCTTAGCTGCCCACCAGGCTATTCCTAACTCAGCAGTCAAAAGTGGTGTTTATTGGTTGGATTATGGCATTCCTCTGCTTCAGACCCTCCAGTGGTTCACAGTTTCACTTAAAATCAGAATCCTTCCAGTGACCTGTATAATCTGACCACTGTTTTCTTGCTGACTTTATCTCCTACTACTCTCTCCTTACTACTATTATTATTCCTTCCGCTTACTAACTTCACTTTAGCCACTCTTGTTCTTTCTCTTCCTTGAGCTTTCGAGGCATGCTTTCATCTCAAAGCCTCTATCCTTGTTCCTTCTTGGTGTTTTTTCTCCATGATTGGACCCTTGCCTCCTTGAGATCTCTGCCCATGTAACCCTCATACTGTCAGGAGTTAATCATCTCCAGCCAGTAGTTCTGTCCTGTGGAAATTTTGCTGAGACTGAAGCTAGGCAGTTTCATGGGTTGGCAATTTCATGGACTCACAGTTTTAAAGTCTCAGAATCTTGAAGGTTGCAGTCTGAAGACTCTGTGGTCCTCAGATGCTGTCATTTTATAGAATTGGAGTCTTGTGGTTGTGCAATTTCAATTCAAGGATGGCACACATATTCTTAAAAAGGCAGTAAGTATTTCAGACTTGTGGGCCATATGGCTCTTCATTACAGTTATTCAACTCTGCCATTGTAACAGATTAGCAACCATAAACTATGTATGTAAATGTTATTGTGTGCTAATAAAATATTGTTTATAGAAACATGCATGCAGCCAATGAGGCTAGAATTTGTAGACCTCTAGATTCAAAAACTGGTAGTTTCTGAGCTCTCTGGAATAGAAATATGAGCTTACCTTCAGAACGTTTGAACTAGAGGTATACTTCATCTAACCAAAGCTGCAGCTAAACGCCCACCCACAATCTGTTATGATTAATGATATCAAGTGGACGTTAGGAGCCGAGCATTTCCTGTTTTCATCATTCCTTTGTATAGATAGTGGTTTCCATCTGGTATCACTTAACTTAATCTGAAGATCATCTTTTTATATTCCTTTTGGTATAGTTCTGCTGTTGATGAATTCTCTCAGCTTTTGTTTGCCAAAAAATTGCTTTATTTTACCTTTATTTTTGAAGGAGTTTTCATAAGTTATAGAATTTGAGATTAATAAGGTTTTAGTTTTTTACTCCTTTTTGATCCTCTTCCCCTCCCCCGCCCCCATTGTCTTCCGGCTGCCTTGTTTCTGAAGAGAAATCATTGCTTAATTCCCCTGGTTATAATGTATTTTTTCTCCCCTTTCATGCTGCTTTAGAGATTTGTTTCTTTATCAACAATTTGATCACATCTTACCTTGGTTTGGTTTTCTTTGAATTTTTCTTACACAGGGTTCATTGAACTTCTGGATTATAGGATTATAGTTTTTATCAAATTTGAAGATTTTTCAGTTGTTAATTGTTTTAAACATTTTCTGCCCACTCTTTTCTGGGACCCCCCGATAATATGTATGCTGTGCTTTTAAAAAAATTTTTATTTTATTTTTGGCTGTGCTGAACCTTTGCTGCTGCACAGGCTTTTCTCTAGTTGTGAGGGCTACTCTCTAGTTGCAGTGCGTGGGCTTCTCTTGTTGTGGAGCACGGGCTCCAGAGTGAGCAGGATTCAGTAGTTGCAGAGCACAGGCTCTGGAGAACAGGATCAGTGGTCATGGCACATGCGCTTAGTTGCCTCACGACATGTGGGATCTTCCTGCACCAGGGATCAAACCCGGTCTCCTGCGTTGGCCCGTGGACTCTCTTACCACTGAGCCACCAGGGAAGCCTTGCTGTACTTTTGATATTGCCTTACAGGTCACTGAGATTCTAATAATTTTTTCAGTCTTTGTTCCTTGGAAGGAAAAAAACCACACATATAGAATGTAACCATAGCTAGAGCTTATCTGTGATTTTTTTTTTTTTAAAGAAAATGCGTTTTCTGATGAATGAGGAGAAAAAGTTGTTCATGTTTTCATGATGCCCCTATTACCTATCACATTATAAATTCTAATCTACTTTCTTTCTCATTTATTGACTTCATAATTTTTGTTTTTTTAATATATATCTTTTAACTTTTTATTATATAATGGGATATAGCCAATTAACAATGTGTTGTGATAGTTTCAGGTGAACATCGAAGGGAACTTCATTACTTTTAACATCTTTTATCCTATTCCTTTTCGTTTCTTTATTAAGTATTGAATGTGTAAGTAGTTACCATATCAACAGGATGAATCAGACATGGGATCCTTCTGTTAGGATGTTTACAGTATAGCCAGGAAAGAAAAAATATATATATTATATAAATAAATATTTTATATATTTTCTAATATTTTATATAATATATGTTTGTATAATTTATATTATACATTAATTATAATTGTATTATATATTAATATAATTATAATATATGAAATATATTTTATATACTATGTTTATATATAAATATAATTATAATTAATATATATTTATATGATATTTATAAAAATATTTATATATTTATATAAAATCATCAAATCCAGGATAGAGATTGAATATTACCAAAAATGAGTGCTGATAAAAATGTTGTAGGAAACCAGAATGAAACATCTCAGTTGTTTACTGTTTTACATGTTGGACTTAAAACAGCCCACTTGGGGAAAAAATTCCATTTTAAAACCTGTTTTATGTTCATTTGACTTACTTTTCATTTTATTTTAGGTATAATGTGTTTGTCTTTCAGAGTTTTGTTTTAGGTAGTTTTTAGCAGTTATAACTGGGAAATTAAAATATATCCTTAGAAGTTACATTATCAGGATGAGCTAACTAACTGCCTAGAAGAGAAGACTGAGGTTTTATGATCTTGTTTGATTTGACTCTCAGTGGAGGAATCAGACATCATTGATCTGGAGAAACGCTATTGGTTGCTGAAGGCTCAATCCCGAACTGGACGATTCGATTTAGAGACATTTGGCCCATTGGTTTCACCACCAATTCGTCCATCTCTAAGTGAAGGTAGGAATCATTCTGTTTCTGTGATGTTCCTTGCTAAACACACGAGACCATCTTTTATTTCTAACCAATACGTCTTAACTCTAAAAGACCATAATGTTATAGGTTTGCAGGTTTCTTGCAAATAGTTTGTTTGGTGGGGAGGAAAATTAAATTGGGAATTAAGATTATAGTCTTGAGCGTCCTGTTCTACTTATGTAACCTTGCATAAGTCAGTTTAGCTCTCTCATCTGTATGTATGTGCTAATTAGTCACTCAGTCATGTTCAATTCTTTGACCCCATGGACTGTAGCACGCCAGGCTCCTCTGTCCATGGGATTCTCCAGGAAGAATACTGGCGTGGGTTACCATGCCGTCCTCCAGGGAATCTTCCCAACCCAGGAACTGAACTAGGTTCTCTTGTGGCTCCTGCATTGGCAAGTAGGTTCTTTACCACTAGGGCCACCTGGGAAACCTCCCTCTCACCTATATATTCTCATATATAAAATGTTTTGACCGTGACAGTGGTTATGAAACTGTGCTCCTATGGGTGCCTCAGAAACTCACTCCTATAGTGGAGGAATTAGGGAGGTGGCCACTGAGCAGGCAAAGCTCTGGACTTCCACATACAGCCCCACCTCTGCCTTAGCTCAAGAACCTCCACAATTTTTCTTTTACGTAAGAAGGTTCACTGGGGAAATTCCCTGACAGTCCAGCGGTTAGGACTCCTTGATTTCACTGCCAAGGGCCTGGGTTCAATTTCTGGTTGAGAAGTAGGGTCCTGTGTGTGGCACAGCAAAATATAAAAAAAGAAGAAGAAAAAGGTTCCACTGTTGTTATCACTCCTTCCCTCACCCAAAAAAAGATTAGGAAACCACTGGACTGGACCATATCTACAGTTCCCACTTAGCCCTAAATTTCTCATTGCTATCACTTAAAAAGATGGATATGTAAACAGTAGTTGTTGGGTGATATCACAAAAACCACATATGGAGTCTGAATGCCTGGGTTTTTCTTCTGGTTCAGACCTTTTTAAACTTACTTTTGGCAAGTCGTTTAACTCCTCCTTAGTTTTGCTTTTTCTTCTCTTTAAACTGAGGGCACAGAAGTAGAATCTTGTAGACTATCTGTATTCTTCACATTCCCAGTGTATTTCAGAAATACTTGATAGGGAAACCAGAACAGATAGGATATCACCTACTTGAGAAGTGCAGTTGTGTTTTAACGTTTTTAGAACTAGAGAGTGATAAGTCATTTTATTTGAAAACAAAATCATTTCATTTCTATGTTTTATAAAAAGTTTGAAAACCACAAGATTATATTATAAATGCGCTTTTATTTCTGAAGTTTAAGATATTTATAATATTAAGTAGCACAAAGAAGACTGCAATACAGAATTTCTTTCTCTTATACTATATTATTTTTTTTTTTTGCCTCATGAAAGAGCTTACTGTAGCTTATAAATAACAGCACAGTATATCTTTGGTATGCAGTTCAACTTTTCTTCTTTTTTCCTTTTTCTTCTCATCCTTTCCAAATAAGGATAGTTGTGGTCTCTTGACTTTTTTTTTTTTCCGGTTCTTAATTTTTTAAATTTGTTTTTATTTTTTTACATACTATAGTCATTTTTAGCTATAGGATTTGATATAAGATAAGAGATAGGCTGGCAAACAGAACCAAACACTAATGATAGTAATGTATTTTCTGTTAAAAAAAGTTAAGTTTTATAATTATATCAGGAAAAAAAACTTCCTGAGACAATGGGAGCTACTGATAAACTTTTATTTTTAATTCAATAGTTTATGGGAAAAAGTCATGCCTCCTTTCATAAACATGTCATTAACATTAGGAAATTTGTTGATTCTGATTTATGTTGTCTTTTCCTATTTTATAGGTTTGTTTAATGCTTTTGATGAAAATCGTGACAATCACATAGATTTTAAGGAGATATCCTGTGGGTTATCAGCCTGTTGCAGAGGACCTTTGGCTGAAAGACAAAAATGTGAGTGTTAAACATTGTCACAAAATTTGCAAACAATATGGAGAAAAATATAAGCATTCATTCATGTAGAAATCATCTGTGGATTAAAGCTTAAATTTTCACTACTTTGGCAAATATCTATGTTGAAGTTCTAGTGAGGTCATTGTAAGGGTTTAGTCATCTTCTTTTTTCTTTTTTCTTTTTTTTTAAACTGTGGAGTGATTTGGAATCTTTGTCATTAGTAATGGGGTTGATTTTCCAGATGAAGGTGCAGTTCATGATAAATGAACTACTTCGATCATGATATCTTTGAAAATGTTAAGCATTTAGAAAATATTTTCTGGTAGTCTGTATGGAAAATTTTGTGTCTTATATGACTTGAATTATAATTTATTTTCTCTCACTTCTATACATTAATATTAACAAAATGAAATTTATGATCAAAACACAATTTTATTAAATACTAAAATCTTTTAAACCTAGCTAAAAATGTTATGCCATAATTTATAAGCATTAGTATATTGCTTTAATAAATCTTAACCATATTTGAGAAAACATAACAGTTTACATTTAATTGGAATCTAATTCTACTATATTTACAAAAGTCATTATCTCTGTGTCTTTCAAAAATACAGTTTCACAAATGTTGCCTGTTTTGGATATGCTACTTGTTAGATTTCTTTCTTCTTCTTTGATATGGTATACCATTATTCCAGCATGACTTTATGATAGATTATTTGTTTCCATTAAAGTTCAAATAATAAAGAGACTGACATCTTTGCTTCTCAGTTGGAGTTTACTATTGCCTTAAATTTTTTTTTTAATTGTTTTTTGCTAGTGCAAGTTAATAAGCTAGAGTGATTCATTTGGTGTTAATTAGCAAATGTTAGTATTTCTGTTAGCCTGTTGTATATAAACAAAAAATTGAAGAGTTGAGCTTGTTCTTTAGCAAAAAAAAAAAAAAATTTGAGTGTGCCTTTAATTACACTGGAGAGGGAATATCTTTGTATGGTTATCTCTCACTATCAGCTGGGAGTTGGTTCTGGGACCCCCCTAGGACACCAAAATCCATGAATACTCAATTATTATATAAAATGGCATAATATTTGCATATAACCTATGTACATATTCTTATGTAACTTTAAATCATCTCTAGGTTACTTATAATACCTAATACAATGTAAATAGTTATAAATACAATGTAGATGCTATGTAAATAGTTGCCAGTGTGTGGCAAATTCAAGTTTTACTCTTGGGAACTTTCTGAAGATTTTTGTTTTTAATTTTTATATATTTTTGTTTTGTGGTTGAATCTGGGAATGTGGAACGCATGGGCATGGAGGGCCAAATGTACCAGCTTGTTGTTGATTCTTAATGTAGATGGAGTATTTTCAGCATTGTGAGAATCACCTGTGAAATGATCAGTTTTTAAATATTGGAAATTAAAGGCTTGAATTACCACCTCAAAATCTGAAAGATAATGTATAGTAACTTGCATCTTATTAATATTTTTCAGTTTATAAGGAATTTAGCTCTAGATTTAGGGGAAAGATAGGGTTCTCCAGCCTGGCTAATGATTGGGAGAGAGAGACTTAGAAATGTGTGCAAGAAGCCCTACAAATTCAGAGGACTTCCATGACATAGTCCGCTCCAGATGAGAACTTAATCCAGGATATACTTGCTTGAGAAACTTAGTAATTTTACTAGGGCAGCTTCTACTAATATGTATTGTACTTCAGAGTATAAAAGTGATTTCCCTCCAAAAGAGTTTCTTTTGTTTAGTTTGCTTCAAGGTGTTCGATGTTGACCGTGATGGAGTTCTCTCCAGGGTTGAACTGAGAAACATGGTGGTTGCACTCTTAGAGGTCTGGAAGGATAACCGCACCGATGATATCCCGGTAAATTCTGATTGTGTATACATTTTAGTGCATGTAAACTTCTTGCCAACAGGGAAATGGAGTGAATAAAGTTTTTAAAGAGATTAAGAATAAAGGATTTGCTCTGACTTCTAGTTGCTATATTATGCTACTCAAAATATCTATAGTTAAAAGTACAAAATTGGGAAGAGAATTTGCCTTAGAAAATTTAATAAACTGAATGTATTGTAAATATTTGACCAAAATATCATATACTCTTGTTGTTTGGATGCTAAGTTTAACTCTTTTGCAACCCCATGGTCTGTAGTCTGGCTAGGCTCCTGTGTCCATAGGATTTCCCAGGCACCAATACTGGAGTGGGTTGTCATTTCCTTCTCCATACGATCTTGCCAACCAAGGGACTGAACCCATGTCTTCTGCATTGGCAGGCAGACTCTTTACCTCTGAGCCACCAGGGAAGCCCAACATCATATACTTAGTCACTGACTAATAAAAATGATATCTGCTTTTTTCTAATTACTTCTTTGGATTTCTGTATTTACAGGAATTACACATGGATCTATGTGACATTGTAGAAGGCATATTGAATGCACATGACACCACAAAGGTGAGTCCAGCTGGGACTGATTTTTTTCTAAAAATGTCTCATACTTTGAATTGGTATATATAGCTTGAATATATATTTAAATCTCTTCCACATTGTCTCAGCCAAGTGTTTATTTGGACCAGTGGTCACAGTCCCTCCAAGTTGTCTCTAAAGATAGCCCATTCCATATTTCCAATTTTAGTATATGTGCTGTCGAAGCTAGCACAGCCTATTCCATCTTTAAACAACTCCACTGAAGTGCTATATACATAAAAACATTTATATTTTATAAGGTAGGCATGTTATAAAAATTAAGTAAACACAGCCCTTGCCATCTACAGTTTATAATCTTTCTTTCTCCCATGTTAATAAGTTATAGAAAGGCTAACCTTGTATTGAGCAAACGAAATGCTGGAAAAATGAAAAGACATTGTATGATTCCATTTATATGAAGTTTGAGAATAGAGACAAAACCAGCAAATGGTAAGAGGTGTATGACAGTGGTTTTGCAGATGAGTGATTAAACTGGGAAAGACCATAAGGAGATGATGGAAATGACTATCTTAATCTGGATACATACATTCTTTTACAAAATTTCTAAAGTAATATTGGTAAAGGTCTCTTCTGAGTTCTTTAATAGCACCCAGAATAACCATGTAATATAAATAAGCATGTACTTTACAAATAATAAATTCTTGAACTTAGTTTGACAACATTTATTAGTTAGGGATATTATAATAGGTTTTCTCCTGTAGCTTGCTGTGATTTTCATACAGAATGTATGAAAAATGTAATTTTTGGTACACTTTGAAACCAAAAAAATATTGCTTTACTCAAAAGAGTAACATTAAATTGTATTTTAGGGAAATGTAATATAGATACTCATTTTTTATTTTTATTAAGTTCTTTTCAAACTCTTAAGAACTCGGATGAAATTACTAGATATTTCTAAGAAGGAGGTCTTAGAAAATTGTTAGGAGCAAAGCGCGTAATCCAGAGTCTATAAAAATGCTTTCAAAATTAGCAAATACTTCATTTTCCCTATCTGGGGCGTTTTGTAGTTTCCATAGGTAACCTTTGAACCAGAAGATGATATGAGTTATTTCCCAGGTGTTGTTGAAGGAAGAAGATGGTTGGTGATAAATGATCCTCATTGCCATTGACTACTTTAACGAAGTTTGGTTCCCTTTAAACTTATCCTGGCTGGCCTGTTTCTCAGATAAACAGATAGCACCTACCTTAAATTGTTGGATTTCTTTCAGACAAATAATCATTAGAAGTTTAATAAACCAGATTTTACTCAAATAAAAAATGAGGGCATTCTTAATATGAGATCTTTTAAAATAATGTTTCTCTTTCAGATGGGTCATCTTACTCTAGAAGACTATCAGATCTGGAGTGTGAAAAATGTTCTTGCCAATGAATTTTTGAATCTACTTTTCCAGGTATGTTTAAGGTAAATGACAGATACAGAGGGCAGTGATACTAGTAGTTCTGCATCTTTTCCATTACGTAGTAGTTACTGCATATAAGCTACAAAACCATATATTATTTAAAAAACTACATTATCCTGTATACCACCTGAAAGATGGTGAGGTAAAGCATGAGTGCCTACTGAAGTTTCTCAAAGTCATGAGAAGTTAGGAAAGTGGAATATAGCTGATTATGTTTATCTTAAAATTCATGACAGAGCAGAATGTAGACACAGAGAATAATTTAAATTGTAAAAGCCATTATAATTGCTATTTTTCTTCAAAGACCCCTCCTAATAAGGCCATGGAACAGAGATGGTTCATAAATAAGCACCTGTAAATTTTTCACAAAATATTCAATCTTTCCAGTTCAGAGATTATCTTAGATGCAAAATTATTTCTTTGTTTTCCTAATTCCTTATAAGGTCCAAAAAAGATCAAAGGAGAAGGAAGAAAGAATAGCTGCTAGGAATGAGCAGCCAGATTTTAACTGTTTTCCCAGTTAAAGCAGTTCTCTTGCTCCCATTTTAAAAAATAGTTTATGGTTTCCATTTTTCATAGTTTTTCATAAATATGTAAGTTGACTTAATAGTGATATTTTAGATTCTCCTTATATTCCTTTCCTTGTAAAAGCACCCCTGTGAAAGTCAGAAAAGTTTGGTATCTTTGTCTTTATCATGATCTTCCATTATAACTAAAGAGGTCTATGACATAACTGTTAGAATAAATGGAAATTGAACTCTTCCTGATGGGTAATTACTAACTAATGTATATTTAAAGCATATGCAATCTGATATGCTTATAATACCCATTTAAATCACTCAGCTACTCCACTATCAATTTTCAACAGTAATTTAAGTTGATGGCTTTGGAAAATAAAAAATGTACAAAAGTAATATAAATCACTGCTATAAATAGAAATGACTTACTTGGTAATATAAATCACTATTGTAAACAGAAATGACTTACTTGGTAATATGAAAATTGATGAGCTTTTTTTTTTAATCTCACTTAAAATAATATTCTCAAATTTTAAGTCATAATTAATTATATAAACATTTCAACCACTTGAGTTTGTATTTACGTCATCCTGTAGCTCTCATATAGCAAAGCATTTTGAATATTTGTATTGCCTTGACTGTTTTTTCATGCTTATCAGGGACTTGCAATGACAGTATTTTCCTGTGATTTTAATTTGTAAATAAGCGTATGCTTGAGATTTGTTTTTGTATGTCAGTGTTTCCAGTATTATATTAAACAGTTGAAAGATTTTTTCATTGAGTACCCATTTACCCATCATCTAAGTTTTAGCATTACATTTTACCATGCTCACTTTATCCCATATTTAGACGTGCTTTAAAAACTTTATGTTCACTTAATATATGTGTAAATAGATTGGGCTGAATTATCCAGATGGGTCCAGTCTAATCACACGAGTCCTTAGAAGTGGAAAGCCTTTCCCAGCTATGGTTAGAGAAAAAGAGATGGCATTGGGAGCAGGGCTAGAGAGGTGCAGATCTGCTAGCTTTGAAGATAAAGAAAGAGCCATGAGCATAGGATTGTGGGTGAGCTTTAGACACAGGCAAACGGAAGGAAGCATACTCTTCCTTTGAGCTCCAGAAAGGAGTACCACCCTGTTGCCATCTTGATTTTTAGCCTGGAGAGATCTGTACCTTACTTTTGACCTGCATAACTGTAAGATAATAAATTTGTGTTGTTTTAAGCTATAAATTCTGTGATAATTTATTACAACAGTAATAAAAATCCAGTACAAGGGGAGATAACCCATATTTATAGATTGGAAGGCTCAATGTGTTAAAGATGTCAGTACCCCTTCAGTTGACTTAAGGATTTGTACACTCAAAATCAGAATCCCCAGAAGCTCATTGTTGTCACTGAGATTTTGTAGAACTTGACCAGAGGATTCTAAGTACACATGGAAGTATGAGGGTCAAAAATATAGCAAAGAAGAAATTCAGGAACAATGGATTTATATTACCAGATATTAAAACTTTTTATAAAATAGCAACAGTGTTACAACAGTGTGATGTCTGCATAAAGTTAGATCAACCAATGGAACAACATTGAGAGTTCTTACACAGACCATGTAGGTGTGATCACTTGATTTATAACAAAGAAGACATTGCACTGCAGATGAGAGGGAGTGGTCTTTTCAGTAAGTGGTACCAGATTAATTAGTATTCTTATGGGAAAAACTATGCATAATTATTCACCCCATTACATGAAAAATAATTTTAGACCCTGTTACACAATATTGTAAAGTAATTAGCCTCCAACTAATAAAAATAAATGGGGAAAAAATAAATAAATAAAATTTGCTTGTCCAGGAAAAAAAAAAGTGAAGTCAGAGAAAAACAAATATTGTATATTAACGCATATATATAAAATCTAGAAAAATAGCACTGATGAACCTATTTGCAGGGAAGCAATAGAGATGCAGATGTGGAGAACAGAATCGTGCCACAGCAGGGGAAGGAGAGGGCAGGATGAAGTGAGAAAGTAACACTGACATATGTACACTGTCAGGTATAAAACAGATGACTGGTAGGAGGCTGCGGTATAGGACAGGGAGCCCTGCCTAGTCCTCTGTGATGACCTGTAAGGGTGGGGTGGGAGCGGGAAGGGAGGCTTAGGATGGAAGGGCTATCTATATCTATAATTACGACTGATTCGGGCTTCCATAGTGGCTGAGACAGTGCAGAATCTGCCTGCGATGCAGGAGACCCAGGTTTGATCCCTGAGTCAGAAAGCTTCCCTGGAGAAGGGAATGGCTACCCACTCCAGTATTCTTGCCTGGAGAATTCCATGGACAGAGGAGCCTGGCGGGGTATAGTCTGTGGGGCTGCAAAGAGACACCACTGAGCAACCAATGTGGCTGCTTCACACTGTTGTACAGTGGAGGCCAGTGCAGCATTGTAAAGTAATTATCCTGCAGTTAAAAATAAATTAATTTTTTAAAAGTAATTTTAGGTAGATTATAAATCTAATAAATTTGGAAAGTAAAGAATAAAGTGTCTAGAAAATAACATAGCTATTTTAAATGACTTTGAGGTGGCAGAGTTCTTAAACAGGGCACAGAGAGTGCCAAGCACAAAGAAAAGTTTTAAGTTGGACGTCGGTAAAATCAAGAATTGTTTTTTTCAAGAGATGCCAATAAAAAAATGATAAGAATTTATTTGCTTTACTTGTGTCCAGGAGAAGACTTGTGTATAGAACGTGTGTGTGCTAGTCACTCCGTCATGTTCGACTCTTTGACCCCGTGGACTATAGCCAGTTTCCTCTGTCCATGGAACTCTCCAGACAAGAATACAGGAGCCATGTGTTAAAGGGCATCTTTGCCATGCCCTTCTCCAGGGGAATCTTCCTGACCCAGGGATCAAACCAGTGTCTGTTACATCCCCTGCATTGGCAGGTGTGTTCTTTACCACTAGCGCCACCTGGGAAGCCCATCTAGCGCATACAAAGAACAAAAATCAATGGGAAACAAGGCAGAAGCTTAATATTAAAATGTACAAAAAATGTGAATGGGTGCTTCACAAAAGAGAATATCCAAATAGCTAATAATTATGAAAGAGGGCTAACTTCTTTAGTCATAATGAAAATACATATTAAAATTGTACTTGGAATACCATTAGACATCCACTAGAATGGTTAGCCTTGAAGTGATAATGAAGCGTTGTTGAAGATAATAAGAAAGTGTAACTCTTTCACATTGCCAGAAGGAATATAAATTCTTACAAATATTGGCTGTTTTTATTTATACCCTATAGAAACTTGTATATCTGAGCACCAAAAGATGTAGAATAAGTTCTTATAATCACTTCTTATTACAGCCCCAAACAGAAAATGACCTAAACTACCTATCAGCAATAAATACATAAAAGTAAAATGGTGATACTTGCATACACATGGTTTAATTTAAAGCAATAAAAATAAATATATTACTGCTACACACAACTGCATCAAGGAATCTTACATAATATGGAATGGAAAATACTGGACCAGAAAACTCAAAAGCAGACAAAAAGCAATCCGTGGTGGTAGAATTCAGGGTAGTGAATACATCAAAGGTTGCTGTAGTGTCTGGGAAGGAACTCAAAGTGGAACTTTGAGGGAGGTAGCAATGTTCTGTTTCTTGCCTGGATGAAGGTCATGTGAAACTAACACAACATTATACATGTGAAACTAACACAACATTATAAATCAACTATACTTCAATTTAAAAACCCTTTAAAAAATTGTCTTAACAATAAAAGAATGAACTATTGATAGATGGATGAATCTCATAAACCTAATTTGTGTATTAAGTAAATTTTACCTCAAAAGGTAAACAAAATTATAAACAGGCAGGCTGATATATTTACAGGGAGCTGTACTAATATCTATAACTTACTTTGAAATTCATGCAAAAATTAAGATGGATTAATAGATGAATTGAGGGAAGGATAAATGAAGTATAATAAAATGTTAATGTCAGAATTAGGTAATGAGTATGGGGTATTCAGTGTAAAATTCTTTAAATTTTTCTGTATTTTTGAAATTTTCCATGATAAAATGGCAGGGGTAGGGGTGGGGAATCACTTCTTTTATAATGATTTAGAGAAGGCAAATAAATTGAGGAGAAAATGAGCCTTAAAAAGCATACTTAGAGCTTCCGTGGTGGTCCAGTGGTTAAGAATTTGCCTGCAAGAAAAAAAAGAATCTGCCTGCCAGTGCAGGAGACCTCTGGTTTGACCCCTGCTCTGGGAAGATTCCACATGCCATGGGGCAGCTAAGCTTGTGGGCCACAGATACTGTTTCTGCATGCCACAACTACAGCTACTGAAGCCCACGTACCCTAGAGACCATGCTCTGCAACAAGGAAAGTCACCCGCAATGAGAAGCCCATGGACTGCAAAAGAGTAGCCCTCGCTCACCGCAGCTAGAAAAATCCCAGGCAGCAACAGAGACCCAGCATGGCCAAAAACTTTGTTTAAGAGCATATTTAGCACTGGTAGCATTGATGTTCTTCTTAGAGCTGTTTAAGCTAAAATGCTCCCTTTATCCTTCATTTCTGGTATCCGTTTCATCTCCCCTTTACCTTTCTACCCAAGTGCTGTAGTATGCTCTTCAGATTTCAGGAAAGGAGATAATATTCTCTGTGTGAGGTAATTAAGGTATATAGTATTAATGAAACATTCTAAAAAGTAGTTTTTTCCTTTTTTCTCCTTTTCTTCCTTTCTCTCTCTTTTTTCCCCCCAATCACAGAGATTTGGAAATTGCTTCCATTGAAACGATTTATTTCTTTTAAAAAACAAACAAACAAAATTTAAAGTTCAGATTTGCTCAAGTGGATCATTGGTAACTCATCAGCCAAAAGCTATTGTTAGTTTAGGTTCCCATCTAGAAGTGGATCTTATATAGAGAATGTGAAATATTCTTATTCTATAGTTCAGTCATTGGCACCAATGAAGTTTAATTTACCATTTTATCTCTAGGTATGTCACATAGTTCTGGGGTTAAGACCAGCTACTCCAGAAGAGGAAGGACAAATTATTAGGTAAGTTTATAGATACAGTCTGTGTATATTTTCATTAAATAGTTACAATTTCAGACATCTGAAATATATTGTTACTGGATAACAGTATGTTTCCATGTTACTGTAATCTTTATGGTAGCACCCTGTTTCTCCAAATAAATCACATAATGAAGTGTTTTTTTAAATTAGCTTCCTAACCAAGGGATTGGGTTAAGATATTTAAAGTGTAAGATGTGATGACTTGTATATTGTATGTGTTCTGAAAGAATTCCCCCCTCTGAGTTAATTAAGGCACCCATCACCATCACATATCTTATAATGAAAATTTGTACCTTTTTACTAATCTCTCTCCTAGCTCCTGGCAGCCTCTTTTCTATTCTGTTTCTGAATTCAACTGTTTTTTGGATACCATGCAGTATTTTTCTTTTTCTGTCCGGCTTATTTCATTTAGAATAATACCCTCAAGCTTCATCTGTGTGTTTTTGTAAAGACATGATTTCCTATTTTGAAAGGCTGAATAAAATTTCATTTTATATATTCACAAACACCACATTTTCTTTATCCTTTCATCTATTTTTGGACTCTTGGATTGTTTCCATACCTTGGCTATTGTGAATAACGTTGCAGTGAACATGAGAGTAGAGCTGTCTCTTCAAGATACTGAAGAGATCCGTATCAGGACACATCATCATTAGGTTTTCAAATTAGTAACAGCATTAAGATACCTATGTGTATCCTTCATAAAATTTAAAGCGCTGAAAGAAAAAAAACACTGTAGCCAAGAATTCTATATCCCGAAAAAATATTTCTTTAAGACTGATTTGGATTTTGAAATGAATTCTTATATATGACTCTTAGAACAGAAGCAGTGAAAGAAAAAATAGGTAAATTTGGCTTCATCTAAATTAAAAACTTGTTCTTTAAAGGGCATTGTCAAGAAACTGAAAAGAAAACCTACGGACTGAGACATAATGTTTATAAATCATAGATCTGACAAGAATCAAAGTAACTAAAATGTATAAAGAACTCCTACAACTCATGAACCAAAATATAACTCAGTTTTAAAACAGGCAAGGGACTTCAATACACATTTCTTCAGAGATGATATACACAAATAATATACACGTGGTTATCCAGCAGTTGAAAAGATGCTCAAAATCATTTGTCATTAAGGAAATGCAACTCAAAACCACATGAAATTCCACTTTGTGCCTACTAGGATGTTTGTAATTTTTAAATGGAAAATAAATTTCATGATGATGTAGAGAATTTGGGATTCTCATTGTATCACTGGTAGAATTTGGTGTAACTGCTATAGAAAACAAGTTGGTATTTCCTCAAAATTGCAATTACCACATAACTCAGCAATTCCCTTCTAGGTATTTATCTAAAAAATTTAAAATAGGCACTAAAATACTTGTACCCAGATCTTCCTATTAGCACTGTTCACAATAGCCATAAGGTGGGAACAGCCCAAATATCAATCAGTAAGGTGAATGGATAAACAAAATGTATATATATGCCATGAAATATCACTCAGCAATAAAAAGAAATGATGTACTGATGCATGAGATGACATGGATGAACCTCGCAAATGAAAGAAGCTAGACACAAGAGGTGACGTATTATACGATTCCATTTATATGAAATATCCAAAATAGGTAAAACTAAACTATCAGTACAGAAAGCAGATTGGTGATTGTCAAGGGCTAGGGAAAAGGAGTAATAGAAAATAACCACTTAGCTGTGGTATATGAAATTGTTTTGGAGAAGTTTGCATAAGGTAAAATTAACTGTTGTAAAGCATATATAATATTCAGTGGCATTTAGTACAGTCAGAATGTGCAGAGACCACCTTATGTTATATGAATTTCTTCTCAATAAGAATAGTGTTTTTAAAATCACATTGTGACACCACTTCACACCCACTAGATAGATGTGTGATAGAAAAGACAGAAAATAACAAGTGTTAGTGAGAATGTGGAGCAACTAGAACCGTCATACAATACTGATGGGGAAGTTAATGGTGTAGCCGCTTTGGAAAACAGTTTGCCAGTTGCAAATTATCAAGTATTAGATAGATAAACAAAGCATACACAAGTACCCTATGGAATATTACTCAGTAATAATTTTAAAAAAGCACAAAGTAATAGTATCTGCTCCAACATAGATGAACTTCAAAAACATTATGCTAAGTAAAAGAGATCCGATGCAAGAGACCATGTGTTTTAGCATTCCATTTATTTATTTAAGTCCCTTGCCCATTTTAAAATTGTGCGATGTTCAGAAATGGCAGCCCACTTGAGTATTCTCGCCCAGGAAATTCCATGGACAGAGAAGCCTGATTGGGATAGTCCGTGGGGTCCCGAAAGAGTCAGACACGGCTTAACAGCTCTACAGCAGTGTATCTGATACAGAAAGAACGCTTTAAAATCAAGTTTAAAAAATACCAAAAAATGTATAGAAACAAGGGCAAAAGACATGAATAAACAATTCACAAAAAAGCTATATAATGGCCCATCATCATATGAAAGGATCAAATTGACTTTATAATAAGAGAAGTACAAACTAAAGCTACCCTGAGACATCTTTTGTCTCTTGCAGATTGACAAAAAATAATTTTGACAAGCCACTCTGATGACAGTACTGGGAGAACAGGCATTGTTACATCCTGCTCTCAGGAGTGTGTGACTCAGACAAGTAAAGAATCCACTTGCAATCCAGGAGATCTGAGTTATATCCCTGGGAAGATCCCCTAGAGAAGGGAATGGCTATCCACTCCCATTATTTTTGCCTGGAGAATTCCATGGATAGAGGAGCCTGGTGTGGGCCACAGTCCATGGGGTTGCAAAGAGTCAGGCATAACTGTGTTACTTTTTAAGAGACAGAAAATAAACTAGTGGTGTCATGAGGCTGAGGGCAGTAATTTGACTAAAAAAATGACTAAAAATAAAGCATAAGATGTCTTCTGGGGGTATCTGAAATAGTCTAAAATTGGATTGTGGTAATGGTTGCACATGTCTGTAAATTTACCAAAATCATTGAGTTCTACACTTAATTCAGATAACTTTTATGTTATTAAATTATTCTTCGATGAAGCTGTTTTTGAAACATCAGTTGGAGTCTTAATAGTGGTATTATGACTCCTGAAATTAGATTATCAGTGTTTCACTAATTTAATATGTGGCCATTTTCCAAGTGTATCTGTTTCATGCTTTTCCTTTGAAAAGTTTCTAATGATAATTTGTGGGTGTATGGTCATCTGTTTTACACACCATTTGATGTACTGAATTTCTTCTGTATGTAGAGGATGGTTAGAACGAGAGAGCAGATATGGTCTGCAACCAGGACACAATTGGTTTATCATCTCTATGCAGTGGTGGCAGCAGTGGAAAGAATATGTCAAATATGTAAGTAAGATTCCTATTTATCTACATTTAAAATAAGATTTTTTGTGTGACTACTGGACATTAATAAAATGCTCCAACCTAGAAAAAGATTTGAAGGTGAAACAAATGAATACCTATATGATGCTTGCTAAGGACCAACCTGCTTTTCTAAAAAGCAAGTTCCAGAGCAAGTAATAGATTCACTAAGAAATCAAGTACTATATACTTAGTATTTATAGCACATTATGAAAACAAAAGTATGAGACTGTAATTCTCACTTGGACAGTGATTAGCAATTCTGATTGCATAGCAGAATCACATAGAAAGCTTTAAAAAAAAATTCCCAAGCAAATAAATTTATAAAACATAATTGGAGAAAGGGATTGAATTAATTTAAGTCATTTTTGTATACTGAAAATTTTCTTTTGAATTCTAATTTAAATGGAATGCATTTTGTCGGTATGAACGCTGTCAGAAAAGCTGTGAGAAGATCAATATTATCTTTAATGAATTGCCAAGAAGTCAACAAACTGAAGTCCAAATATATGATTAATAATTTAAATACTCAGGCCTAATTCACAGGCCATAGGTCAGTGTGATTCTATTGTTCTGTTGTCGATACAATTATGACTTCTTTAGTTTTAAAATACTGATGGCTCCAAATCCATACTTAATGTAGATTGCCAGTTTTTAATCATTTGTATACTGTGGTCACCATTTTTTTGCCATATAATTTCCATACTATTATTTTCTTGGTTACATTTATATAAATAACTTTATTATTTTTATGTAAATAAATATATCTTATTTTAAATCTTATTTATGTCACTATCTTAAATAGAAAATCAGTGTCACATTCCAGAAACAGAAGATCAAAATAAAACTAAATTTAATGGAAATAAAATATATTAAATTCCAAGTAGTGTTGCCTTTTGAAGACTAATACTGAGGCCTGTTCTCTGTTAAAAAGAGAAATTATCAAGTATTAGATTGGCATATCAGGTATTCAGTTAGCACATTAACACCAAACTGAGACCCTCTTCTCAAAGTAATCAAAGGACTGGAAGAGGATTGAATAGGGAATAATTTTTTCACTGTGAAGTAGAGTTATTTAAAATCCAACATAATCTGCTAACTTTCATGTATTTTAAGAAAGTTAATAATTAATAGAAGATACTAACATTTGGATCTCTAATAAAGAATATGAATCTGTGTGCTTCTGAATTATTTGAAGTTTTAACAATAAAGCTATAATACTTTTTTAGTTCAATAAAGTTGATTGGTATGTAGAAAGAAATCTAGGTTTTATTCTCATTCTTCTTGCCACTCTTGATTAAATCACTGTAATTTTTTCAGAACTGGCTTTTGAAGAATCTACAAATTGATAGTGTTCACCTGGCTTACAGATCAAACAGGCAAAAAACATCTAATAAAATATTGATAAAATGTCTCGTTGTTTTGGCTAAAATTAGGGCTTTCCTTGTGGCTCAGATAATAAAGCATCTGCCTGCAATGCGGGAGACCTGGGTTCAGTCCCTGGGTTGGGAAGATCATCTGGAGAAGGAAATGGCAACCCACCCCAGTACTCTTGCCTGGAAAATTGCATGCACAGAGGAGCCTGGTAGGCTGCAGTCCATGGGATCACAAAGAGTCAGACACGATCGAGCAACTTCACAGGGATTTCACTAATTCACAGGGATTACATTAAAAGAATCTAAAGTTTCCACTGTGCTATTGCTATGCTGTGACTTGGAGTTTATGTTTTAAATTTGATGTTTTTCTTAAGTTTCAGTTAGTTACTTTCTAAGTGGTGCCTTCAAGACCCCAATCCATACATCAGTTTCATCTACTAAAATTTATGTTGCTGTTTACTGAATACCACTTGAGTTCTCTAGCCATGCTATCTGTCTCAGATGCCCCTGGGACCTTGTTACTGTTTAGCGCCTTTAGTCTTTCTCTTTACCTTTACTTAAAAATATCCTGATCTTTTAAAAGCACTCACAGATACATATCCTCATAGCACCTTCCCTTCTCCTGTCAGTCTTCATTCTCTGTTTTTCTGTGTGTTTTTTGTTTGCTGATTTTTTTTTTTCCCTCACAAATAAGCTTAGTAGAAAATAGTTCTGTGCTCGCTGCCTCTGCTTCTAGGACTCTGTGTGTATGTTTAGTCACTCATACGTGTCTGACTCTTTTTGACCCCATGTACTGTATGTAGTCAGCCAGGCTCCTCTTCCATGAAATTTTTCAGGCAAGGATAATGGAGTGGGTTGCCATTTTCCTCCTCCAGGGCATCTTCCCAACCAACAGAGGGATTGAATCTGCATCTCCTGCATTGGCAGGCAGATTCTTTACCCTTAGTGCCACCTGAGAAGCTACCTCTCCTGATTTTTCTCTGGTCATTCAGACTCAGGATCCTTCCTAAATTCTTCTGCCACCTATCCTATAAATACTGTTCTCTCCTTATTCTACATATGCCATATTCTTGTGTTTGCAGAAATGTATATAGTCCTCAATCTTTATCTCATCTCTTTCTCTGTCCTGAGCACTAGACTCAAATGTCCACAGAATCTCAAGCCAAAATAAGCTCATTCCCAAAACTATCCTGTTCAGTTATACACCTTATCTTATGAAGATGTCAACTCCCATCTAGTCATCTAAGTCAGCATCTCATGTTCTACTTTGGAATTAACTGTGCCCTTCTTTCATACACAATTAATTGCCACTTTTTTTTTTGTCTCCTAAATTCATGCTCTCTCTCCATCTTCTTACTACTGGTTCTAGCTTTATGGATGAGTACCTCAGTGTCTCTTGTCTAAATTACTATAGAAGGCTTCTAACTTGTGTCTCAGTTTTCACTCTGCCTGCTTTTTGCACACTATAGAGTTATTTTTAAAAAAAAAACTGGATTATGCTATCCCCTGTTTAGAAGCCTCTCACAGAAAAATCCTGTCAATATAATGTTAAGTGAAAGAAAAGGAAGCAATATGCTGTATTTAAAATGTGTTTTCTGACAACAACCAGAATGATAGTTCACATTTACTAAATCCCAGGCAATTTACATGTGTCACTCATGTAATCTTTGTACAACTCTGAGATACTAATGTCCTAGTTTTTACCCATAAAGAAACTGAGGCTTGTAAGTTTATGAAAAGCAGCATAGCTGGTAAGTCCGTACCCTGCCCTCAATTCTAACCGTATTCCCCACATTTATCTTTTATAGATATGTGTATATGTTCAGTCACAAAAAATAAAGGAAACATCAAAATGTCAACTATAGTTAATGCTAAATAATGGAATCTTGAGTACTTGTGATGTTTAGTTCCTTCATGTTTTTATATATTTTCTATAATAACAATGTAATATTTAATAATAAAGGAATAAATATTATTTAGCTTTTTAATATCAATAAAAACCTTCCATGATTTTCAACTTTCAACAGAATAAAGTCTAAATTACTTTATGTGGCACAGTGTTGCTTGCAGTCTATTCCCATTCTACCTTACCAGTTTTACTTATATACACTATTCTTCTTTGAAGAAATTAAAACTCAGTTATACATTCAAATGTTTTAAGTGCCATAGCCAGCCACAGGAGAATTAGAAACAGTAGACAGTTGGGAGATTCATTTTTGAAGGCTGCATAATTGTCAGATTATTGAATTTTACCTCTTAATATCTGACTGCATGATTTTTAGGATGCCAGCCCTGTTGTGATAGAGCCATCATCTGTGCTAAATGGAGGGAAGTATTCCTTTGGAACAACAGTACATCCTGTAGAGCAGAGTGAAGATAGAATTGGGGGAGGCAGCCCAAGTTACGTGAACACCACTGAAGAAAAATTTTCAGACAATGTTTCTAGTGCATCTGAAGCCTCAGAAACTGCTGGCAGTGGTAAGTATGACTTATTTTCTGTGAGGTTTAGGCAGGGTCATTTCTTAAAGTGGTACAGTTTGTCAGAGAGTATGCTTGGTGGTATATTCGCATCAGGCTTCCATTCACAGAAACAGGTTTTGAATTAAATAGTCAATTAACAGATTCTTAAATGTATTAGTAACTTTACAAAGAGGAACTTGTCTATGTTCTATGTCATTAATCTCCCAATTTGAAAATATTTTCACAGTTTTCATTGATTAGGTCTATCTTTCCATATTGTTATTAAATCATTCTGTCAATAAATTTAGTTTAGAGAAGCCATTTTTGAAGAAAATCTAAACTTTTATCTCCAGAACTCTAACCATAGCACACCTTCATTGGATCAAATGCATCCTCATGTCAGATTCAGACATTCCAGGCTGGAATTTGGGAGTTATTTTGTCAACATATTTAGAAAGAATTGATAATGTTGCCCATAATCCCCTTCAGTTGTTGATACCTACCTAAAACTTAGTAGTTTTACACTTACGTGGAAGGTGCTTTGCTATATTTTGGCCCAGATGAATTTAGTTGATTCCTATTATTCTGCTGGTACAGTAGCAGGACTCTCAATCTTATTCTGTTGTTTCATCTTGGAGATTTTTCTTCTCCTTTTCTGTGGAGCAAGAAGGCAAATTGAACAGAGCTGGCGTTTTCTCTACAGAACTCCTTGTAGAATCTCAGTTCACTTCAGTTGCTCAGTCGTGTCTGACTCTTTGCAATCCCGTGGACTGCAGCACGCCAGGCTTCCTTGTCCATCACCAACCCCCAGAGCTTGCTCAAGTTCATGTCCATGGAGTTGGTGATGCCATCCAACCATCTCATCCTCTGTCGTCCCCTTCTCCTCCTGCCTCCAGTCTTTCCCAGCATCAGGGTCATTTCCAATGAGACAGTTCTTTGCATCAGATGGCCAAAGTATTGGAGCTTCAGCTTCAGCATGAGGTCTTCCAATGAATATTCAGGACTGATTTCCTTTAGGATTGACTGGTTTGATCTCCTTGTCATCCAAGGGTCTCTCAAAAGAGTTTTCTCCACACCACAGTTCAAATGCATCAATTCTTCAGTTCAAAGGTATCACTTTCCCCATCTGATGTTATTACAGAGACCACTCAACAGTCCTAAAAGTGCTGTCTTTGATCAGCTTTTCACTGTTTCTTGACCCTCCCTCAGGTCCTTTTTGATATATGCTCACTCTGCACACAGCTCAGCTCTGTGCTGTCCACATGCTGAGCAGCACCACAAGTAGGTTAAAAGTGGTTGATGAATAGACTATTTACCAGCAATTAACATGTGGTTGAGAGTTGAAATACCTTAAGACACCATTCAGGTTCACAACGCTTAAGTCATTATCAATCATTTTCCTGTATATATTTTTCTGTTGTAACATCCATGCCTTCCTTTCAAATAGATTTATTGGGGAACAGTTTCTTCTGTCCTAGCATTCTCCATTCTCCTGTTGGCATTCTTGTTTTAGCTCCTGCTCTTTGTTTTAGAGACTTGTTATCACCCTTATCTACTAAGAACCTTTGCGGGCCGAAGAGAATTAAGGAAAGATATGGGAGAGTCCAGCTACTTGGCCATATTTCTTCCTTTCCTATCAGAGGACATAGAATTCTTGTGAATTATTAGATATTCTAGGAGTCTGGCCAAATGTTCATTTGATAATAGCTTTTAAAACTTTTATTCTACCTAGTGTTATTCTAGGTATTTTCCAAAAAGAAATACCTCTGTGTCTTCTACACAATTACAGAATCTAACACTGTACTGACATGTCCACAGAATAATAGCATTAACCTAATACATGGACTTTGAGTTCGTATCTTAGAGACTATTTTATGTATAGTAAAACAGAATTTCCATCTTCTTGGTCCTTACAGGCTTGCTGTATTCTGCCACACCAGGAACAGATATGTGCTTTGCTCGACAACATAACACTTCTGACAATAACAATCAGTGTTTACTAGGAGCCAATGGGAATATTTTGTTGCACCTCAATCCTCAGAAACCAGGGGCTATTGATAACCAGCCACTAGTTACTCAAGAACCAGTAAAGGTAAGTAATTGGACACCTCTTTCAAGTTGCTAATAAATTTCATCCTGAAAATTTCAGCACAAAGAAAATGTTTGTGATTGATTTTATTAACCTATTGTAGATAGAAATGTTTCTGTGAGAGTATTTTATGACTTACTACTTATATAGCCTCAGTTTAGTGATCCTTGGAAATGTTATTTTTCTTACTTAGAACAGCTACTATGAAAATGTAGTTTCACATGTATGTGAAAAAAGTTTTTTTAAAAAATGATAATACTTTTTACTGTTGGAAAGAAGTCTGTGAAAGCTATCCTTAATATTTTTCAAATGTTTCAGTGATTTTCTTTCAAATAATTTACCTTGAGTTTCCTTTCTTAAATAGTTTATTTTGAAAGTTCAAAATGAAAACCTTTTAGAAAATTCTTTTTTTTTTCTAGTAAAGTGAAACTGAGTAGCGACATGTGTTTATTTTCCTGTGTCTAGGTTTTGTTAAAACACAAGAGACTAATTTTAAAAATACATTGGGGGAATTCCCTGACAATCCAGTGGTTAGGACTCCGAGCTTTCACTGGTGTGGGCCTGGGTTCCATCCCTGGTCAGGAAACTAAGATCCCACAAGCCAAGAGGTGGGGCCAAAAAAAAAGTCAACATTTACATTCCATTCTTTCTAAGGCTACATCATTAACACTAGAAGGAGGACGATTAAAACGAACCCCACAACTGATCCATGGAAGAGATTATGAGATGGTCCCAGAACCTGTATGGAGAGCACTTTATCATTGGTATGGAGCAAACCTGGCCCTACCTAGACCTGTAAGTACAGCCAATATTGCCTTATATAAGAAGCATTTATAATAGGGTCTTCTATTAATTCACTATATGGACCTCACTATCCACAAATTAGTACTTAACCATGATAGAGCATTCAATACCTGTTCAAATTAGTTGAATAAATTTTAGGTTCTTTTATTTTCATTCATTCACTTACTCATACATTTATTGAGCACTGTACCTAGGTACTAACCACAAAATGATATTCCTTTGGGAATGGGCAACTTGTATAAAATGGAGGAAATAATCACTGGACTAAATAGAGTCAAGGAATTATGAGGCTAGGCAAGTAAATAAGTCATCCACGTAAACACAGACATTAAGATAATGCAGAACTTAGACTGGAGCAGAAGTCTGAGAGTCAGTGCCAAGAAGTTCAGTGAAAAAAGAGAAGTGGAACAGATACTCTTTCTACCTGTTACTCCCCTCAGCCACACAGACACCCGCTTAGCTTTTGTGGATTTTTGTGCTTTGTCTTTCTGAAGGAGGGACATAACAAGATCATAATCGATAATAATAAGAATTCAAAGCTGGTGAATTCTGATTGTGACCATTAATAGAATGAGTCATTTAGAGCATAAGTAAAATGCTGTGAAGTAATTTAAAGGGCTTGGAGTGTGTAATATCAAAATATTAGTTAACTCTATAGCATCATTTATTTTGCTTATACAGTAAACAGCAGTATTCATTGCCTTGAATATTCTTTACATTATTGATGCAGCAAAATACTTTTATAAGATTCTTTTGCTATATCACAAAACACTCTCCCTTATATAATGTCCAAACTAGAACTTTTTTATATCAGGAAGGTTTTAGATAGATAAGATATAGTAAATTAGATCACTTCCAAAAAGAGTAAAACTCTGCTGTATATCCATAGTCTATAATTTTAATAATGATTTTGTTATTAATAATTATGTTTACAAAAATTATGTTTAAATCTTAATCAGGAATTTAGGGTATGTATTTGTTGGCTCCAAAAGGTTTTTACTATATTTGTCAACAGAACTCCTAGGTAGTTACATGTAAATATGAATATGCATAGATATATATGCATACATATTCTTTATTTATTGGGGTTTGGGATAGTCCTTGAATTAATCACTTAATTTCTGGGACTTCCCTGCTCTGTCTAAAATTCTGTATCTGTAAGAGAATCATTGTGATAATGGTAGATGTTTGATGGATAGATGGATAGACAGATGCAGTTTGATATTTTAGAGTCTGCCTGGATTCACATTCAGTTCAGTTCCGTTCAGTCGCTTAGTAGTGTCCAACTCTTTGCGACCCCATGGACTGCAGCACACCAGGCTTCCCTGTCCTTGACCAGCTCCTGGAGCTTACTCAAACTCATGTCCATCAAGTCGGTGATGCCATCTAACCATCTCATCCTCTGTCGTCCCTTCTCCTCCTGCCTTCCAATCTTTTCCAGCATCAGGGTCTTTTCCAGTGAGTCAGTTCTTTGCATCAGGTGGCTTCAGGACTGATTTCCTTTAGGATTTATTGGCTTGATGTCCTTGCAGTCCAAGGGACTCTCAAGAGTCTTCTCCAACACCACAGTTCAAAAGCATCAATGTTTTCATCTTTAAATCTTAGTTTGCTCATCTGTAAAATGGAGTTAACAGTGGTATCTACCTCATTAGACTTGTTTTGATAAGCAGAAAATGCATATGATTAGCACGGCATCTGAGTTATAGTAATGGTCAGTAGCAAATTTTGCCTGTTGCTGCTGTCATCATCATCATAATTATTAAATGAGTTTTTTCAAAGCCTCACAAAAGGTCATGCTTTTTAACATTGATATCAGATAAATATTAGTTTAGCTACCATTTTACTACATTAAAGCTTCATTTGCTGGTTTGACAGTATTTTTTCACCTCTAAATATGATAATTTGCCTGATTTCAGGAAAAATTGCTGTAAAAACATTTAAAGTATGGTGTTCCATGTTAAAGAACACTAAGTATACTTGCCACAGCAAGGTTAAAAATAAATACTTTCATCAACATGTTTACATAAATCACACCATTTTTTAAAAAAATAACTTTAATTCTTGTGAACAAGCTCCATAACAAATTGAGCATTGTAAAAAAAATACAAAGAAAATAAAAACCATATCCTACTCCTTAAGAAGTATTTATTATTTTATGTTTTTTAGAAGTAATTACTATTAACGTTTCAATGTACATCTTCCCAAACATTCCTGTGCCTATTATATACAAATATGTATAAATAATTTTATGAAATTGAATCATATTATGCTTGCCATCTTATAATCTATTTTCAATCTAAGATAGATGTTATTGATATCTTTCGAGGTTAATAACTCATAATTTATTAGCCAATCACCATGGATGGACATTTAGTTTACATCCAGATTTTCGTTGTTTAAAACAATTTTCTGGTGAATATTCTCTTCTCCAATGTGTGGTGAGGTGATCTCTTTAACATCAATTCCTACAAATGGAATTGCATTTATTGTTATCCAATTGTAGTTCAGTTAGTTCATAGACAAGAATAATTAAAATGTAAATAAATACGTATATATGTTTGATTATGCATGAATGTGTAAGAATTTGTTGATCTGTAATTTGCTCACAAAATCACTTATCTTGGAAAGTAAGCTACACATTATAAAAGTTACTTCATTATCAGTTCAGATTCTGCCAAAAGTATGTTTTCTGTGTAGCCTGATAACTATGGGTACAGAATTTTTTTTTTTTTTTTTAATCTTTCCCCAAATCACAGTTAAACTGAAATCCTGGCTTTGTAGCTCTCAGTGACTCTCTAGAAGAAATAGAAACTTTTGTTTTTCTCCAGTGGTCTTACTGTTGGGGAGAGCTCCTTTTACTGCTTATTATTTAAATAGTAGTTGATAAAGCTTACAAGTGGAGCTTTTGTAGTATACTATAGTATATCAGAACATGCAGAATACTTTAAAGAAATAGTCCTAAAGGTTTGGTTTGTATCGTTTTTATCTGGCTCTTCACTGCCCCCTCTTGATACTAAAAAATGCTTTGTTGCAGAATACGTTGATTTCTAAAGCAAAAGAAAATGAAAGCCCAGTTACTTGAGGGTGTTAAAGATTCTGTAAGATTTTACGTGTTAGAGAGTTTGGAGACTTCCCTGGGGGCCGTGTGGTTGAGAGTCCACCTGCCAGCGCAGAGGACATGGGCTCAATCCCCGGTCCAGGAACACCCCACATGCCACTGATGCTATAAGTCCGTGTGCCACACCACTGAGCCTGCGTTGTGGAGCCCGTGAGAGCTGTTTCAACCATGTGACCTTCATTTTAGTACATCCAATTTAGTTTTTTTAATCATAGACAAAAAAAATATGGCAACAGTCCAGTTAAAGAAAATATAGATAGTAAATTTTTACATGGAAACATTTTTGTTCTCACTATTAATACAAGAAATAAAATTTAAAGTACATCTAAAATATTCTTGGTGGGAGGGGGGTTCAGGATGGGGAACACATGTAAATCCATGGCTGATTCATGTCAATGTATGGCAAAAACCACTACAATATTGTAAAGTAATTAGCCTCCAACTAATAAAAATAAAAATAAAATATTCTTTATATGTATTAAAGAAATTAAAGTCATGTCCAGTGATAAGGTTTTGTGAAAGTAATACATTCATACATTTCTGGGAATATTGTAAATTGCTGCATTTTGGGTGGCAGTGTAACTTAATGTAGTTAATGACATGAATGCTTGTGTGCTCAGTGATTTTAGTCTTGTCCGACTTTCGTGACCTTGTGGACTATAGCCCTCCAGTCTTCTCTGTCCTTGGGACTCCCCAGGCAAGATTGATGAATAATCCTGTACTTTTTTACTTGTGACTCCATTCCTAAGAATTTATCCTCTAAAAGAACATCATTTTTCTATATGAGATATGTAAAAGTGAAAAGAGTTATTGTGTGAGAGTACTAGAACTGTAGATAATATTTAAGATTTTTTCCCCTTAATATTGATGTTACTTGCTTTTAAATGGAGTGGGAGAAAATACCCACCAGGAATCCTAATCCTGGAAAATGGACTTAGATGCAGGAGCCTGAGGGCCTATAAACCCATGTCATATAAACTGATGACTTTCTGAAATATAGGCAGTGAACCTTTTGAACATTTCAGTTTGGAAATAAATCTCAGAAATTAGGTAAAAAATGGCAGGTTTTATTTCTTTTATAGTGATCACTTCGTATCTTTTAAAACAACAGGTGATCAAAAATAGCAAGACAGAAATCCCAGAACTGGAATTGTTTCCTCGCTATCTTCTCTTCCTGAGACAGCAGCCTGCCACTCGGACACAGCAGTCTAACATCTGGGTGAATATGGGTATGATGAGCCTGAGAGTGTTTCCTCAGCATTTACCAAGAGGTAACTTAAGAATGCAGCAAGAATACCGTGCATTTCCTTGAAAAAAATTAAAATGAAAACCAATTTGCTCCAAGTCTGGTGCCACTATAATAATACACATTTTCATCTGTTTTCATACAGAATCAGAAAATCTCTTATGGCCTTAGATCTACGGTCATGCGCAAGACTAGCTGGGGTAGAGGCAAAGTCCCAGCAGCAAACTGAAAAGGGTTGTTTCCTTTTCTGGCTTGCAAACATACAAAGATAATAAGCAGAAATGAATTTTACACACTTTGTTTCTTTGAGAACAAGCCATTGTAAATTATGTGCTTGACCTCAGAGTCTGCCAGCCAGTGACTGTTCTTTTCAACTCCATTCAGATTGCTAAGAAGTAATTTCTTCGGCAATATCCTCTTCTTGTGTGTGTGTTTTGAGTTTTTTGTTTTGGGGGGTTTTTGTAACAAAACATGGTATATTTCTCATGCTAGGCCCAAGGAGCCTTAATAACAGATAATACAAAGGAAAAGATCTGTTTTTGAGAATGAAAGTGACACATTTTCTTCAAAAACATCAAGCCTATCAAAATGATGTATAAATAAGTTTTCATTTTAATGTAATAGATGCAAAAAGTTCCCTTTTGATTTCTCTCTGAGGTTAAATTTTACCGATGGGCCGGGCTTGCTCTATGCTTTTGCCTTACAAATATTTGAAATAGTTCTTCAGCAAAAATAATGAGTTCATCCATTTACACAAAATCTCAGACTGTGTTAACAATGCCATAATGTTATTACAATTACTGTAACTTACTATGCAAAAGCCACCTATGAACCCAAACCAACCCTGTAAGTATCATCCCTCCTTTGAAATTAGTTTGAAATTAGTAGGATTAGTTTTGTGTCATCGTTAAAGATTATATTCAGATAATATATCGAAATTCTTACATGTGTTGTTTGGTAAGAATTATACCAAAGCAGTGCCCTCAAGCTTTGTCTTTAGGTAATACATTATAATAAAAAAACAGTGAAATAAGAATCTCTCTGAAACACTCTTGATTTAATTTTCCATTGAATAATATCAATAGTATTTGCCTTTCTTTCATGGCACCCATAGTACCTATCTTTTTCAATTCTCTTTGAAAGATTACATGAGAGGCAAGATGTGTTGTTGCACTTTTAGTAAGTATTCTTTATAACTCTTGTGCTGATCCTAGATTTTTGCTGCTTCTGTAAATTCCACTAGATTTGTTGGTGCTATTCAAAAGTATGAAATTATGTATAATAAGTGGCTGCCTGCTTAATGAGCTATGCTACAAAAACTGTCTAGAATTCAAATAAATTTCTTATGGCTTGGGACAATAGAAATTGACTTGGACACTAGCAAATGCTTCTGAATCCTCAAACTGTATAGTCATTATGCTCCAAATTTGTTCTTAATTTGAAATTTTATTTCTTACTAATTAGTTATGAAATCAATCATTAATCATTTTGAAGTTTATAAAAATATGCTTTCTTGCTGTAATCTTATAACTAATCCTCTGATGTGTATTTAGAGAAATTTGCCCTTTTGTTTTCTTCTAGGATTATCCTTTTCTTGCTGATAGTAAATGATTTTCTTTGCTAGAGTTTAAGAGTTAATCATAGTTGGGTTTTGTTCTCCATACATAGTTTTCATCTTTCTTTCTAATGTATCACAGCTGTGTACTGGGCTCTTTTATTCCTTTTGGGCTTCCCTGGTTGCTCAGACAGTGAAGAATCTGCCTGCAATGCAGGAAACCTGGGCTCAGTCCCTGGGTTGGGAAGATCCCCTGGAGGAGGGCATGGCAACCCACTCCAGTATGCTTGTCTGGAGAATCCCCATGGACAGAGGAGCCTGGCAGGGTTACAGTCCATGGGATCAGAGTTGGACACGACTGAGTGGTTAAGCACACAATTTATTCCTTTTGAAGTGACAGGTTTCCAAACCTTGCTACAGTTAGCAGTGACTTAATAGTAGCCTTTTTAACAGACAAAGCTACAGAAGTCATTGTTAAATGATTTTTCAGCCTATTTTAGGTGAGTTGATTCTTGGAAGCTCTGAAAAGTAGATGATGCCAGTGCTTTTCTCCTCTGTTTAGTAAGTAAAGACTCAAAGCACATTGGAGAAGGCAATGGCAAACCACTCCAGTACTCTTGCCTGGAAAATCCCATGGACGGAAGAGCCTCGTAGGCTGCAGTCCATGGGGTCTCGAAGAGTCGGACACGACTGAGTGACTTCACTTTCACTTTTCACTTCCATGCATTGGGGAAGGAAGTGGCAACCCACCCCAGTGTTCTTTCCTGGAGAATCCCAGGGACGGCGGAGCCTGGTGGGCTGCTGTCTATGGGGTCACACAGAGTTGGACACGACTGAAGTGACTTAGCAGCAGCAGCAGCAGCAAAGCACATTTAGGGAGGAAGAAAAGCTAAGTCACCATTGAATGGATAGAAAATTACCTGGAGTGTATAATTGTACCCTTGATAAATTATATTGATACATTGAGTGTATTTTTGGTTTGGGTTGTTCAGTGAACTAAATGTAACCTCCCATAGGCCAAGATGACCATTTTAAGCTACAGCTTTTGTCTAGATTTTTGACTGAATAGTTACCCAGGGTTTAGCAGATGGTTTTAGCAACCATTATGTTTTTGATTTCCATAATTTCTTGTCATTTTATCCCCTTTTTCTTTTGAAGTATATGGTTAGACTTGATACATTCTTCCTTTAGTGTTGACTCTTTCCCTTTAGTGCCTCTTTTTGTTTGCACTTTGAGCCCTTCAAGAATTCAAGGTCATGTCTACTGTCCTCTTACTGTGTAGACAGGCCTTATGGTTTCCCCGTAGTACCTTTCAATAGGGCAGTTTCTTTTTTGTCATGGGACGTTTCTTGGCTTACTTTAAAGCTCTGTTGACCATGTAATATCTGTGCCTCCTTATTCTAAGTAAAAGTTTCTTAAGTAATTATGCCACAGTGGGCCAGGTAATTGGGCCACTTAATGAGAGTGAGGGATTAGCAATTCAAAGACAGTTTATTTTAAGAAAGTAGATCAGGTGAATCCAATTATCCTTCTGTGGCATTCAAATCCAGTCCCATTTCCCAGTGTAAGACTCCTCCCTATTCTTTAACACTGAGTTTTGATTTTGCTATTGAGTATGACCCAGCTGAGGGCCAAGAAATCAGTGCCCTGATTTGCCACTCTTCTTGGATTCCAGATGCTGCCAATTATTTGCGTGTCTGATTTTGTTGTTCTTCCTTTCAAAGTTAAGGCTTACTGTAAGATGCTTAGGTCTCCTGTCTTCATTTTAAAGCTTATTAAAATTTCTTAATTTATAAAATTATTAAATCTGTAATCCTTATTTCCTTCATTATTATTACCTAAAATAGTATGGTCCCCATTACTAAAAGTGGTGCTTTCTTTTTTTTTAACATCTGCCTTTTTCCTTACTGTGATTACTATGACCATAGGAAATGTCCCTTCTCCAAATGCACCATTAAAGCGGGTCTTAGCCTATACAGGCTGTTTTAGTCGAATGCAGACCATCAAGGAAATTCATGAATATCTGTCTCAGAGGCTGCGCATCAAAGAGGAAGATATGCGCCTGTGGCTATACAACAGTGAGGTAAGAGACATGTCAGTCAAGGAAAGTCCTCCTTGTTAGATCCATGTTTCATAAGTATGGAGGTTTTGTCTACATTAATTGTACATGGACAGTACAATCTTATAAAAATTATTATAAAGTAACAGCAACTATATCTTTTTAACAAATAGTTTATTTTGGATTTGTCTTTAAGTTATACACAAATTAAAAAAAAATTCAAACAATACAAAAGTATGTGGTGGAAATTCTTCCCATCCTCTGACCTCTGTCTTCCATTCTTCTTAGAGGCAGTGCTTTTAATAATTTATGTATTCTTCCTAACACATGCAGTATGTTTTCATTTTACTCTGAAATTGGATGGTAAGTAGTTTTAACCAGCTCTTTATCCCCTAGTTCCTTCTTTCTTACATTCTCCTTTGGTCCCCATTGATAACTGAGAAGCAGTATAGTAAAGGAAGTGGAGAGCACAGCTCCTGGAGCCTCACTGCCAAGAGTTAGATTCTGACTATCACCTGTTAGTTAACTAACCAAGGGCAAGTCCCTTAACTCTCTGTCACAGTTTCCCATGAGTAAATGGGGAAAATAATAGTGTTTCCCTTAGGACAGTAGTAAGAATTAGATGAGTTAATTTTCCGAGCACTTTATAGACAGGGTGAGTGTCAACAAAATGTATAATTCTGTTGCATGGCATTTGGCTTTACATTTTCATTTCCTAGTTAGTGATCAAATTCCATCTTGAAAACAAGCACATTTACTCAATTTAGAATATACTTACTATATACTAATCAAAACTTCTTTTCTGTAAGCTGTTTAGAAAATCTAAATCTCAGTGAATTTTGGTTTGTGTGATCAGTCTTTCCTGGTCTCTCCAAAATCAGATACAACTTTTTTTTAGAAACATAAAATATGTGTTTACAGAGTATACATTGTCTTTCTCTCATTTTGCCACCAAAATTATAAGTACTTTTGAATAACTATAATATGCTAAATGTCTGTACATGAGTTATGTACCTTCAAGGAATTTTTTAAATTGTCATTCATTTTTATTTCAGCATTTGTTTCAAAGTTAGTAATTAACAAAACATTTCCTCTTCCATATACAGAATTACCTCACTCTTCTGGATGATGAGGATCACAGATTGGAATATTTGAAAATCCAGGATGAGCAGCACCTGGTAATTGAAGGTACAAGATGGAAGCATACCTCTGTATTAGATTTTTAGGGGAAGAATGAAAGATTTAATTACTCACTGATAGTCTACTTCATGGGGCTTCCCAGGTGGTGCAGTTTAAAGAATCCACCTGCCAATGCAGGAGATGCAGGTTCAATCCCTGGGTTGGGAAGATCCCCTGGAGTAGGAAATGGTAACCTGCTCCTACTTTGTTCTTGCCTGAAAAATTCCGTGATGTTGCAGAGTTGAAGACGACTGAGGGACTGGGCATGACAAACCTACTTTATAGTTTCTTCCAGCTGGCGTTTGATCACTGTATTCTTCATAGTAGAGAAAACCCGTTAAACCTTGATGTAATCCTTTTGTAATGGAATACTATTTAGATTGCTTCAGGAGGAAAAACATGTCTACATTCATTATCTGGCAAGGGTGGAAACAGTTGTAAAAATAAGTGAATTCAGTTTTAAGTTTATAGTTTACTAAAATTTTCAAGCTCCCTCCTTGAGTTTGAATGAGGAGATTAACATTCTTGCATTGTTGGTGATACCGGTTTTTCAGTAGTCCTCAACACTGATCAACAGAGTTTAGCTTGAGTAAGCATTCACTTACACACTGGCATGCACACGTCACTGAAAACGTAGTGTGTCTTTTCTCAAGACTCATGAAACAGTCCTAGCTGCCTTTGTATTAAAATGCGTACATTACTCTGGCAGTTTCACAATTTAAGAAAGAATTGTAAAAAAGAAAAAAGAAAGAATTGTGATAGTTCCGAGTGTTTTAGGCTTAAGAATTTTAATTCCTTCTATAGAAGGTTGAGTATAATTTTACTTCAGGTATGCCATTGAGGGATTAGCTTACCAATTAATTCTAATCACTTGACTATAGAGCCCCCTATCTAAAGAATTGGAATGGTTTCAGAGCCAATTAAAAAAAATTTTTTTTTTCAGTTTCTGGTTTAGAAATAAGTCTTTGTTTTTAAACAGAACACTTGAGTGGGTGTGATTTGATTGGATAAGAGATTAACACATTATTGTCTGTCTTTCTAGTTCGAAACAAAGATATGAGTTGGCCTGAAGAAATGTCCTTTATAGCAAACAGTAGTAAAATAGATAGACACAAGGGTAAGTTTCCACTGTATTTATTTTTAAACAGATGATCTTAAAATTATTCTTTTATGTTTTTTTCTCTCAACTGTTGAAGTGTTAACAACTTGTAGCTTTCTAGCTCAAAAGTGATTAGGCCCCCTCTTATTTTTCTTTTTCCTGAAGCATCACATTTCTTTCTAACCTTGCAATTAAATAATTTATTCATTTTAAAAGATAGAATTCTAGGAGAGAATTGTTTGAACTCTAAAAAACCATCAGAGCAATTGAAGAGAATCATTTCTACTTCTAGAGTACAAATGAGCATAGATTAATAGATTATCATGATTGCCAGTGAGGCTTCATGAAAAACTTCTACTTTAACATTGCAAGACCCAATAGAAAATTATTATCTCCGTTTAACTGATGAGAAAAATTATAAAAATCATTGCATTGAATACAAATAACTGTTTGGTGTATGACATCTTGCTGTGGCTAGGCTTCTGTTCTCATATTGTTTGTTCCAGTTCCGACAGAAAAGGGGGCCACAGGTCTGAGTAACCTGGGAAATACATGCTTCATGAATTCAAGCATCCAGTGTGTTAGTAACACGCAGCCACTGACACAGTATTTTATCTCAGGGAGACATCTTTATGAACTCAACAGGTAATCTTCCTTGAGTCATTGACTCTTAACTTGTAATTTTGATATGAACCCAATATTACCTAAATCTGTTCCTTATTCACCTTGAGGGAGAAAAGTCTTCATCTTATTTGCCCTGTTAAGCATGAAGTAAGCTTCCCTAGTAGCTCAGTGTTAAAGAATCCGCCTGCCAGTACATGATACATAGGTTGGTAAAGAATCCGCCTGCCAATGCAGGAGACATGGGTTCAATCCCTGGGTCAGGAAGAGCCCCTGGAAAAGGAAATGGCAACCCACTCCTGTATTCTTTTTTTTTTTTTTTTTTCACTCCTGTATTCTTACCTGAAGAATTCCATGACAGAGGAGCCTGGCAGGCTATAGTCCACAGGGTTGCGAAGAGTCTGACACGACTGAAGCAACTAAACAACAAGGACCAAATGTTGCTTCTCTCGTTTTGAAAATGTATTTTGATGTGAGAAGACAGATACTAGGCATTTCTATGTTCACATGATTGTGATTTATAAGAATCATTAAGCACATGGCTGATTCATGTCAATGTATGGCAAAAACCACTACAATATTGTAAAGTAATTAGCCTCCAACTAATAAAAATAAATGAAAAAAAAAAAAGAATCATTAAGCAGTACATTTTCCTCTCAAACTTGTAGGACAAATCCCATTGGTATGAAGGGGCATATGGCTAAATGCTATGGGGATTTAGTACAGGAACTTTGGAGTGGAACTCAGAAGAATGTCGCCCCACTAAAGCTTCGGGTAAGCGTGTTAAAATAATATAAAGGTCTTAAGTCTTAAGCAGCTGTTAAGTAATTTTCTTTGTTTTTTATATTTATCTTTTAATTTTAGCTTAATGTTTTTGGGTCTTTCATAAGACATAAACTTTTACTTGTTCGAACATAAGCAAAATACTCTTATAGACATAGTAGATAGAAAAAGTTCAGAAGTACAGTCTAAATTTGGAAATTTCATTCATTTTACTAATTTATCAGGTATTTTACTTGTATATACAGTAAACTTTTCTTTTTTCAACCTTCACTATTAGCAGTATTCTAACTGCAAGGTAGCCTTGAGTCTAATTAATGATACTCAGTACATTTTTAACATTACTAAGATGATTAGTTCTATCTGTAGAATGAAAAAAAAAGGAGCAGAAAGAAAAAATGTAATTAATGAATACAAATTTTACATTAATATTATTATAGTGAATTTTAGTAAAGTTTGAATTATTTTTTATCTCTATTTAAAAGTAAGTTGAGAACTTCCCTGGTGGTCCAGTGGCTTATTAGACTCCTTGCTTCCAATGCAGGGGCCCTGGGTTTGATCCCTGGTCAGGGAACTAGATCCCACATGTTGCAGTGAAGATCGATCTGTGTGCTACAGCTAAGACCTGGTGAAGCCAAATAAATAAATAATTTTTTTTAAAGGCAAGGCAAAAGCTTTTTAGGTTAAAAATTAATAATCATAGTAGCTAAAAATTTGACTACTTATCACTTACCAGCCACTATCTGATTACTTTATGTGTACTTTACTCATTTAATCTTCTAAATGGCCCCATAATATAAAGCAGTGTTATTATCCCCATTTTATGGCTCAGGAAACTAAGGTTCATAGCAGTTAAGTAGCCTATCCAAGGTTGCAAGCTAGTTAGTAAGTCCTCACAGTTGAACACCGGGCTATTCTGCCTCTAATAATAAAAGTTAGGATACAACACCAGAAAAGCTAACTGTAAAAGAAAACAGGCAATCTTCCAATGTGACCAAATGCTATTTTAATGTTTTCATCTTGTATCTTAAATAGCATCTATGTATCTGAAGAACTGTTTGCCTATATGATACTAAACCAGGACACAGGACTGGCCATAATACTTTTTTTAGTGGGCTGGGGGTGCATCATTTGATACGAAGATTAGAAAGATTTCCTGATTATCCAAAATATATTTGCTGAAATAGACTAAGTATTATATTGTTTGGGCTTCCCTGGTAGCTCAGCTGGTAAAGAATCCGTCTGCAGTGCAGGAGACCCCAGTTTGATTCCTGGGTCAGGAAGATCTGCTAGAGAAGGGATAGGCTACCCCCTCCAGTATTCTTGGACTTCCTTGGTGGCTCAGCTGGTAAAGAATCCACCTGCAGTGAGGGAGACCTGGGTTCAATCCCTGGGTTGGGAAGATCCCCTGGAGAAGGGAATGACTGCCCACTCCAGTATTCTGGCCTGGAGAATTCCATGGACTGTATAGTTTACTTATTCTCATGTCTCTGATTGAATTATGGGTATGGTCATTCTAAATTTTATGCGATAGCAAATAATGAGTTTGATTCCTTTTACATTTATAGTGGACCATAGCAAAATATGCTCCCAGGTTTAATGGGTTCCAGCAACAAGACTCCCAAGAACTTCTGGCTTTTCTCTTGGATGGTCTGCATGAAGATCTCAACCGAGTCCATGAGAAGCCATATGTGGAACTGAAGGACAGTGATGGCAGACCAGACTGGGAAGTAGCTGCAGAGGTTTGTCAGTTTTGAGTTTCTAATGAAAGCACAGATAAAATATTCTGGCCCCAAATAAGTTTTGCACAACTTAAATGCTAACTAAACTGTTCTGTGATCAGGATTTTACTGTGAAAATGAAGGAATTTTATAATTTTCTGATTATTTCTTGTGCCATAATCCCAAAACAGAGTATCTTTAATGAACATAGAAAAATGTTTCCTTTTCACGTCACACATTTTGAAGGAAAAGTTAAGGATTATATTCTTGACATTAAATGTAATATATTTAGCAATTGCCTTGAATTTTTGGAGAAAAGCTTATCTTTTGAATTTGGAGGGGATAAAAAAAATTCTCTATAATCTTTTTTCTTGCTAGGCCTGGGATAATCATCTAAGGAGAAATAGATCAATTGTTGTGGATTTGTTCCATGGGCAGCTAAGGTCTCAAGTCAAATGCAAGACATGTGGGCATATAAGTGTCCGATTTGACCCTTTCAATTTTTTGTCTTTGCCACTACCAATGGACAGTTACATGCACTTAGAAATAACAGGTAGGTCACAAAGTTCTGAAACATTATTTAATTGCTTTGTCTTTTATCTTGTATTCAGTCAGCTTGAATTTGTAAGTTTAGTCATTTGTTTATAGTTCATTCTCATAAAGACTGGTAGTCAGCATGTTATAGTTTTTTAAAAAATTTTACTGGAGTATAATTGATTTACAATGTCCTATAATGGTTACAGTCTGGTTTCAGGCATGATGTGAGGTTTTAAAGACTTGAACATGGGTCCATTTTTGTGCTCATTGAGTTCTTTTAATTTTAAATGTACCAGAAGCTCTCTTGAAAAATCTTGCAAAGCCACTCACACTTTATCAGGTGAACATACAAAAATAATGATTTCACTTAATATTATTTTAAACACCATCTGTTGTGTACATATAAAATAAAAATTCTAGACTGAAATGTTTACTAGTTCCAAGTCTCATACACACACAAACACACACACAGATATAAAGCTTTCAGTGAAACCGGAATTTTACTAATAAAAATCTTTTCTCTTCACTAGTTATTAAGCTGGATGGTACTACCCCTGTACGATATGGACTAAGACTGAATATGGATGAAAAGTACACAGGTTTAAAAAAACAGCTGAGCGATCTCTGTGGACTTAAATCAGAACAAATCCTTCTTGCTGAAGTACATGGTTCCAACATAAAGGTGATATTAACTATTCTCTCTGGGAAACCCTTGATTCTTTAAAAAATCACAGTTTTCTCAAGTAATTTTTGTGTTAAATGACCAAGGGAGATAATAAAACACAACAGAAATGGGAAAAAAATTGTAAAGCTTTCATTCTAAAAGAAACTAAGAGTTTTCCACCAGAATAAAAGAGTAAAATAATGGTGATATTTTTAAAGAAGAGAAACATGTAAGCCCAGAGCTACCTATATGGAGTGATCTAGCTATCAGTACAGTCTAAATTTACCCCAAGGACCGCTGCTGCTTTGTTTTACATCTCTTATGTGTTACTACTGTTCCTAGAATTCTTAAAGTATTTTATGTATTTATGAATGTATGTTTTTAGTACTTATTTATAAATATATATACCTGGCCTTTTAACACACTAAGAGGATAAAAACAAAGTGACGCAAATCACTTCTTCCTCCATACTAGCTAGAGAAAGAAGCTGGTATGTTGCCCTAAATTGAGTTCCTACCATTGGTATTATTTATATTCATCTTCGGGATTTCTAAACAAACTCCCACCTCCTTAACATTTTTTTCATATGTAATGCAGAGGTGAGATCTCTGGGGATTTGGGGTTTAGATTCTTGAAATGAAGGAAAACCTTAAGTCACTTATACACATCATACTTCCTTCCTATGAAAGGGGATAATGGTTTCATCGGTAAGGTTAGTTTTCATTCAGACATCTTTTAGTTATTTTAGAAAATTTATTCAGACATCTTATTTGCTTTACTGATAAAAGGATCTAAGACATTTGCTTCAGATATATCAGAGATGATTCTCCATTTTATCTGAAACATCTCCCCCTTCTCTTGCTCCTTTTTCTGTAGAATTTCCCTCAGGACAACCAGAAAGTACGGCTCTCAGTGAGTGGATTTTTGTGTGCATTTGAAATTCCCATCCCTGGATCTCCAATTTCAGCTTCTAGTCCAATACAGACAGGTAAGAGAGAACTGGAGCTCTTTCTCATGATTTTAGCTTTGAATAATTGTCTAAAGGTTGTTATTCTTTTTTGGCTTTTGTGTAGGCTAAAAATATTAGAGCAAAAAAAAAAAAAATACAGCAAAAGAATTTTGGAGCCTGTAGGAAACCTTAGTGATCATCTTAAATTCTTCATTTTATTGATGAGGAACCTAAAATTCAGAGAACCTAAGTTGGATAGGTAGTTCTTAGCTAAATCTACCACTGGAATTCAGATCTTTTAACTCTCTTATCTAATACTAACATAGCAACAGATGGTATGAGAGAAATGTGCTTTAGAAAACAGAATAGTGAAATTGAGTAAAAAAGAAATTTGTTTATACTCTGATATTTATATGGTCACTCATATAATTTAATATGGTCATCCAGTGAGTCTTCTTGGCCATCGTCTCTTCTTTTTATTGTTGATAATTAGATTCATTTCCCAGCTATCGAAGGCTTCAGAGAGAAGGGGGCTCCTCTCGTTGGTGCTCAGTAGATAGTACTGATGGTGGGTTGGTGGATGATTTATTACTGCTTTTTTGCTTGTATCATTTATACCACTGCCCTGTAGAACTCTCTGCAATGATGAAAACTTTCTTTACTCTTTGCCATCCAATAGAGTATCCAATAGTTACACCAACTGTTTAGCACTTGAACTGTGGCTAGTAAAACTAAGAAAATGCATTTGTAATTTAAAAAGCAACCTCTTTAAAAAAAAAAAAAAGCCACCTCTTTCATCCGTTATAACAAATGATTCACTCTAGTGGGGGATGATGCTAATGGGGGAGACTGTGCTTGTGTGGGGGCAGGGAGCAGATGGGAGTTCTCTGCAGGTGTTTTTAAAAATAAAGTGTTTGTAAAATATCTGGCTAGAGACTACATGGAGAAATGAATTTTTTGAGGATAAGAAAAAGAAAAGCAGAACTATTTTCATGCCACAACATAGGACTGATAAAGATTGTTGTAAAAATTGTACTTACTCTTTCTAGCAGTTACTCGTTTAGTCATTTAGTCAAAAATATTAATAATAAAAGTAAAATCTAAAATGAAAATCTTCCAGTTAATCTAGAATTATTTGACCTATGTTACTTCCGGTCCTATGTTAAAAGAGACTGTCAGTGGTCTGGGTCCCACCCAGCAGTGTTTGAGAAAAGAGCAAAGATATAGGTACCACAAACTTATGATCCTGTGCTTACCTTTGAATTTGCAGATTTCTCCTCCTCCCCATCTACAAATGGAATGTTCACCCTGACCACCAATGGGGACCTGCCTCGACCAATATTCATTCCCAATGGAATGCCAAACACTGTTGTGCCATGTGGAACTGAGAAAAACTTCACAAATGGAATGGTGAATGGTCATATGCCATCTCTTCCTGACAGTTCCTTTACAGGCTACATCATTGCAGTCCACCGGAAAATGGTTAGTTTAATGTTAGATAAATTACTGCTGGTCTTGCCAGTGCTGTTTATGAAACAGCAATTTCTGCCTTGGCAACATCTTCAGTGTGTGCACTTTCAATGTGTTTTGTATGCTGTGTTAAGTGATTACACCCAGGATCTAGTACCACATCTGACGGGCCTACATAGGAAATGATATTCCTCACTCACATCAAGCAGCAACAAGACAGCTGGTGCATCGGAATACTGTTGTCTCTAGAAAGTCTGTGACTCCTATATGTTCACGTCAGTGTATACATCTTCTTTACTATTTAAGTGTGGATGCCTTAGATAAGGTTTTGTTTGTTTTTAGAGGGAGAAACAAGAAGATTCCTAAGCAAGACAAGTTGTTTCCTAGGAGTGCTATAGCAAATTGGCACAAACTTGGTGGCTTGAAACAACAGAAATTAATTCTTTCACAGTTCTGAAGACCGGAAGTCTGAAATCAAGGCATCAACATGGTTGTGCCCCCTCCACAGGTTTTAAGAGAGAATCCTTCTTGCCTCTTCTAACTTGTAAACACCTGAAAATAAATTTTACAAAAAATATACAAGGTACCTATGTAGAAAACAATAAAATATTATTGCTAGAAATTAAAGAAGACTCAATTTGAAGGAATAGACTATGTCCGTGGGATGGCAGCCCACCCCAGTGTTCCTGCCTGGAGAACCCCATGGACAGAGGAGCCTGGAGGGCTACAGTCCACGGGGCCACCAAGAGTTGGACACGACTGAAGTGATAGAGCATGCACTCACAGATTAGAAGGCTCAATATTTCAAAAATAACGATTCTCCACAAACAGATCTATAGATTCAATGCACAGTCCTAATAAAAATGCAAACTCTGTATGTTATGCTTGTGTGTGTGTAACTTCATAAGCTGATTCTAATATATGGAAGCGCAAAGCACTAAAATAACCAAAGCAGTCTTGAAGAACAAAGAATGAGGAATTGACCTATCAGATATCATGATTTTATTAAGCAGTCATATTTGAGACATTTTGATACTGGTATGAGAAAAGGCAGTTAGACCGATGAAATAAAATAGCCCCCAAACAGGTTCACACATGTATGGGCACTTGATTTATAACAAAGATGGCATTACAGAGCAATGAAAGACAACTCACTTGGTAAATGGTGCTGGGATAATTGGGTATCCATATGAAATTTGACATACCTACATCTCACCACATCAGTTGCAGGTGGACTGTAGAGTTAAATATGAAGGCAAAACAAAGGTGAATATGTTCATGACCTTGGTTTAGGGGAAAAACTTCAATAGGACACAGAAAGCACTAAATATAAGAGGAAAGATTGTTAAATTGGACATCATTAAAACTAAGAACTTCAATTTCATCAGAAGACATCACTAAAAATTAAAGGCAAGCCATGGAGTAGAAGATATTTGTAACTCATATTACCAAGAGCTCTCATACACTGCTCATGAGTGCACATTGATATAGCTACTTGGAAAACTAAATTTTCTAACTGAAGATGAATAATTCCACCATTCTGTTTTGTGTTTTTTAAAATGCCCCTTATTTGTAGAAAGGATAAAGCAGTTGAGTCTTAGTCATAGAATATTATGCAGCATTGAAAATGAATGAATTTATACTTATTCCCAACATAAATGAATCTCATAAAAATAATGCAGGAAAGAAGTCAGAAACAAAAAGAAATGAAATAATACTATATTTATAAATAAAACTTTAAAGACAGGGAAGATAAAATTTACTGTTTATTATGCATAGGGTATAAAACAAAGAAAAGCAAAGATATAATTACCATAAAATTCAGAAAAACTGTTACCTTGAGGAGGAAGGAAGAACTTGTGATTGGGAGAAAGCTCGAGGAAGGCTTTGGAGTGCTGACCGAAATGCTTCTTGACCTGATTGGTGATTACACAGCTAATTACTTTGTGATAATTCTTTGAAATGTACATTTTCCCTCTGAATTAGTAACTCCCAACTTAGAGTGATTTTTCTGACCATGTAGACAGTGCTCTATGGATCATTTTCTAGACATGGTTGTTTGAGTAAACATCCTAGAGAATTAAGGGATATATTTGTGTCTTAGAATTTTAAGTGTAGCTCAACTCTTGTTTAAGCACCGTCCCATCAGCTAAGATCATTGGAGTGATTTGTGCATTTCCCCATGTCTTTAAACAAAACATTATCAGATTAAATATTAAGAACTCTGATTTTTTAAAAAAAATCTTTCTTACAAAGCAGCTCCTTTCATCTATCACATATGTTATATAAAGTGGTTGGTAAGTGCTAAAGCATTATATACAGGTTTTTTTTTGTAATTATTGGACCATAAAGTCTGCTCTAAATTTTTACCTTTTAACCAGTTCCCTGTTTCCAATTTACTTCATAATCTAGTTGCTGCTTTTGGGAGTGCCTAAAATCGATTTTACCATCTGTCCCAACTCAACTCCCCTTCTCATTATGTGAAAGGCAATGCCATCCTTCCATGTTAAAGGCTCAAGGCTAGAGATGTTCTTAGATTTTTTTCCCCTTTTCTTCTGAAACTCTGTATTTACTATATCATGCCTTTTAATTTCTTCTTTCAAAATGCTACTTGAAAATACCATTTTCCTTCATTTTTGTTGCCACCTTCTTCTTTCAGACACTTTGATCTCATGATTGAATTGCTTTGAAAATAGTTTTTTTATCTTCTACTCCCTTCTACAAGATAGAAAAAGAAGAGGAATAAGGCAAGGTAACATAGGCGAGAATATCAGAGAATAAAGGGAGAAATAATAGTGTTGTGTTGCCACAACTACTAAAGAGAAGTCAGCTTCAAAAACGGAAAGAAAGAAGTGGCTACATGGGCTAGAGACATCGAAAAGAATGAAAACTGAAAAGTTTGGCCAAGTAACCAAGTAAAGAAATCGGGCAAGAGTTTAGCACAGTTAGGTCAAGTGAGATTTTTCAGATTAAAGAAGAAGTTGTTAGGGTAGAACCAAAGGAAGATTCCTATACAGTAAAGCTGGGAGCATTATCCCATGAAGAACCGAGCAGGTATGGGAGGCGTAGGCCACAGGGCCCTGGAAGAAGTTACCTCCAAGAGGAAGAAAATCGTATGAGTTTAAGAAAGAAATAATGCTGAGAAGAGTAGAGGAGATAGTTGCTTAAGTGATCTCATTTATTTAGTAACATAAGTCATTACTGAGAGTTGGAGGGGAAGAAAGGTTAAGTTTAAGGAGAGGAAAACTAATCAGAGTTCTTTTATTTTAAAAAATAGTTCTTCTGAACTATGTCTGCTTTCTATAGGTCTTATAATAATATAACCACCAATACATGAAATGGGGTCTTAAAAGCGTGTATTTAGCTAATAATCTTAAGTGAATAACAGCAAAATAAAATACTTGGGTATCTGAAATAAGAGTCTTCCACTTAGAAACTAGTGAGTTTATAAGTTGTTGGCTTAACTTCTCTACTACATAAAGTTCAAATTTAAAGAATTAAATGTCCAAGTGCTCAGCAGATTTTTTTAATAATCCTGTAACTCCCAGCAGCTTTTCTATTATACTAAACTTTTGTTTTAAGTCACCATTTCCAGGCTAATTCTGTGCAGTATCTCCCATGTTAAGAAGTGATAAAAATCTCCTTTAACATACTCAGAGCAAACAGTTCAAAAGTTTACCTTTTATTCCATTATATAATTAAAATATGATTTAAAATTTTTTTATATGTGATTCAGTGTGTGTGAGAAATGTTTATCAGAGAAAACTGTGTAATTTGAAAATATTAAATGCTGAAAACCCAAGTTTGATGGAGAGCAACTCTGAAATTGGCACTCCTTCAATGACTCCATTTTGAATAACCATTCTCTTCACATTTTAATAAAAGATAGTTCTGTAAATAAAGAGAAGTGTGATAGTGACTGATTTGAAAATGGTAGTGATGCCTGTTCAGGGGCAGTCCTAGAAGAACAAAAGAGAGGAATCAGGCCTCTTCTCAGCTCACTCGTCTCTTGTTTGTACTTATAGATGAGGACAGAACTGTACTTCCTGTCATCTCAGAAGAATCGCCCCAGCCTTTTTGGAATGCCTCTGATTGTTCCATGTACTGTACACACCCGGAAGAAAGACCTGTATGATGCCGTTTGGATTCAAGTGTCACGATTAGCCAGCCCACTCCCACCTCAGGAAGCTAGTAATCATGCTCAGGATTGGTGAGTCTCTGGGCATCTTCCTAGATCTACAGTTTCCAAATGTAGAAAAAGGAGAATTTCTGTTAATTCTGGGTGATTTATAGGACTCACTACAATTCAACCATTTGTTTTGGTTTTCTGAGTAGTAAAGACACTACACCTTCCTTTCATCACCTAGACATTCCAGAGTACTGTAATCCTTGTAATCTCTGATCTCTTAGCTAAATCTTTCTGGCAAGTATTGTAAGTAAAGAAATTTTTTAGAAGAGAATTGTTGCACAGTTCTCTGCCAGAGTGTTACCTGGCTGTTTTATCTCTTTATCTTTCTTTGCATTTCTTACTTACCGTTGACCCTGGTTATCACTGACATGATACTGGACAACATGGGCTATCCATAATCATTCAGTCAATGATTAGAAAGAAAGATGTGAACTGCTGTGACAGGCATAATACTCATTCTTGCCCTTACAATGGTTGCCCTTACAACCATGAGTCCTTATCATAGTTTCATTACCTTTAGCAGTCGTGCATGTAGCAGCCACTATAAATTGCCGAATGATCCATAGAGTGTATTGCTCTTATGTTATATTCTTTGTGTTACTTCTTATTGGGGCAAGGATGAATAGTTTTGTTTTTTTTTTTTTACAGTCGGAGAACTCATAAAGCTATCTTGCAGTTAACACATTATTCTAAATATGTTATATAGCTTATAGCTTTAGATAGTTAAGACAAGGAAAAAGGGATGTCTATCATGTACCACATCAGGGATTCTGATTAAAGAAGCTTCTAAATATATAGTCAGTCAACTCCTCTAAAACCATTGTGACCTTTCACTCCTGTGTTGTCTATGTTCTTGTCATAGAAGGAGTCTGGTTTAATGTGAATTAAATCTTTTGATAGAATTAGGGCTGAAAGATAGCTAGCATTCAATCTCATGATTAGCTTATTTTATGAAATTTCCATGGACCACATGGACTCTGTCAGAGACATCTGGCAGTCTGCTGTGTTTCCCTCTCCAAGCAGGGAGCCCTGAGCACGCTGTGCAGGGCTGACGTTAATGAGTTAGGATAGCCGGCATGGAGCTGTCAGTGTGAGCACACTGCTCTGGCAGATGCCCCTTTTAGGGGTGCTTCAGAGAAGATGAAAGAGACTCCAGATAAGAGATGTTTCTTACACTCTGTGGTTTATGTTCTGTTTCAGTGATGACAGCATGGGTTATCAGTACCCATTCACTCTGCGAGTTGTACAGAAAGATGGGAACTCCTGTGCCTGGTGCCCATGGTACAGGTAAGGTCACCTTCTGCAAAAGAAAAATGTTAGTAGAATTGCAGCTTTGGATATTATACCTTTTTCATAAGCTTTCCAGTTTTTAGACGTAATAAGTAGTAATGGGAAGCTTGAAATAAACTTAGGAGTTCTTCGTTCATCTCTTCTCTATGAGGTCTATAGCTGAGTTTTGCTCTTGAGACTTAGCTGGTTTTGTTAACTCTACAATCCTCATCAGATTCATAGTTTATGATCAACATTTATCATTCTATACATTCTGCTCCTTAGTTATAAATCAGTTTAGCAATTCTGAGTTCAGTAAAACATGTTCTGTTTACTAGACCTTACTGGAAATCTATTTTTGGTTTTAAGAAAAGTTATAGAGATTGATTAGTCATTAGTGTTCTAGCCTGGAAAATACCTGAGTACTGAAGTCAGCTTTCAGAGAACTATAATAGCCTTAGCAAACTTGAGTTGTATAGGCAGTGAAGCCGTGGCCTTTGTCATGGTTCCTACCCCCTCATAAATTTTTATATGTATTTAATGTGCCACTTGACAAACACGGAAATAGGCATTGTTATGCCCCATAAGTTATCCTAACTTCAAGCATTAAGTAACTAAATTTAGAATTTCATGAGAGGTAAATTATCTCAAATATCTACTTCCCATATCATTTATTTGCCATGAAGTTTCACATATTCATGTGGATTAACAATTGGTTATCAAATGCCTTGAAAAACTAAAGATTTGAGAAGTGTTAAGTGTGATTCACTGAATTAATAATAATTACTAACACAGATTCATGCATTTATCAGTCTGAAGTTAGAAGCCCATGACAAATTGTGATGCCCAAGAAGGAAAGTAGAGAAGTAGAAAAAGAATTTTTTACTTTTTGGCCATGACTTGCAGGATCTTAGTTCCTCGGCCAGAGATGGAACCCCTGGGACATGGTTGTGTAAGCACCAAGTCCTAATCACTGGACCACCAGGGAATTCCCAGGGAGAATAATTTTGATAAAGAAAATTTGGACTCCTTCATAATTATTCTTTCCTCAGTAGATTGTTTTCCCCCCCTTTAGATTTTGCAGAGGCTGTAAAATTGATTGTGGGGAAGACAGGGCTTTCATTGGAAATGCCTGTATTGCTGTGGATTGGGACCCCACAGCCCTTCACCTCCGCTATCAAACATCACAGGAAAGGGTAAGTACTCCAAATCCCCATAAGATGGCAGTTTTTATATGTAAATAAAAATATATACATTTTTTATATGTAAAATATATGTAAAATTTTTCCCAGCTTAACTGTATCATGCCGTTTCTATTTTCAGACAGTTTAAATAACCAGGTAAATATTCATTGATACTCTCTGTGGCACTTAGATATATTAGCATGATTATGTGGTTGTTTCAGTTTTCCCATTTGAAGAGATAATTGTGGGGCTTCACAGATGGCACTATTGTTAAAGAATCCGCCTGCCTGTGCAGGAGACACAAGAGACTCTGGTCCGATTCTGGGGTCAGGAAGATCCCCTGGAGTGGGAAATGGCAACCCACTCCTGTATCCTTGCCTGGAAAAATTCCATGGACAGAGGAGCCTCATGGGCTACAGTTTATGGGTCAAAAAGAGTTGGACACGACTGAGCACCAACACACACACACACACACACACACAAAATACGAGTTAATTGTATTGTTGTTGTTGTTCAGTCACTCAGTCATGTCCAACTCTTTGCGACCCCATGGACTGCAGCATGCCAGGCTTCCCTATCCTTGACAATCTTCCCAAGCTTGTTCAAACTCATGTCCGTTGAGTCGGTGAGGCCATCCAACCATCTCGTCTTCTGTCCTCCCCTTCTCCTGCCTTCAGTTTTTCCCAGCATCAGGGTGTTTTCTAATGAGTCAGCTCTTCACCTCAGGTGGCCAAAGTATTGTAGCTTCAGCTTCAGCATCAGCCCTTCCAGTGAATATTCAGAACTGATTTCCTTTAGGATGGACTGGTTGGATCTCCTTGCAGTCCAAGGGACTCTCAAGAGTCTTTTCCAACACGACAGTTCAAAAGCATCAACTCTTCGGCGCTCAGCCTTCTTTATGGTCCAACTCTCACATCCGTACATGAACACTGAAAAAAACCATAGCTTTGACTAGATGGACTTCTGTTGGCAAAGTAGGGTTTCTGCTTTTATATGCTGTCTATGTTTGTCATAGCTTTTCTTCCAAGTAGCAAGCATCTTTTAATTTCATGGCTGCAGTCACTATCTGCAGTGATTTTGGAGCCCAAGAAAATAAAGAAAATGTTAATAGTAAGTAAATCTTGAAACCAAACTTTGGGCATAAGTAAGAAGATATATTCTTTGGCCATGGCATGTCAAGCTTGCCAATCTCTCTGCTTGTTAATTAAGTATTATTGAAGTTGCAGCATTTGGTAACCACTATTACTTAGCTCAAATGCATTCCAGGGCTATAGCTGTTACCTTTAATAGACATAGTGGTCAGAAAAATTAGAGAAAGGATTGAATGTTTCAAAATGAGGCACCTAAGAGTACATCTCCATGCCGATTTTTCACACTTAGCATTCCTCTACTGCCACTCTTAGGCCAGAGCAGTTCTTCAATTTTGAAAGTAAAACTTCCAAGAGAATACTAACTCCACTAACTCCACATCCAAAAATGTTTGAAGGGAAGATTGACTAGATGGCTTGTGTGTAGAGATAGGAAGAATCTGATGGGGAAGTAAAAGCAACAGAATCAAAGGCGATGTTTTAGTCACATAAAGAAATGTAGTGGATTTTGCATTTATATGACTCTTGATGGAAATTTCCTTCACTGTTTCTTAATACATTCCCTTTAGATAAGGTAGTAAGGAAAATTGAATTTTCTTTTTTTTTTTTTTGGCAGTATAGCTGACTTAGAGCGTTGTGTTCCTGGTGTACAGCAAAGTGATTCAGTTATACATATATACATTCTTTCCCATTATGGTTTATAATCAGGGTACTGACTACAGTGCCCTGTGCTATGCAGTAGGACCTTGTCATTTATCCGTTCTATATATAATAGTTGGCGTCTGCTAATCTCAAACCTCCATTCAACCTTTCCCCACCCCCTTGGCAACTACAGTCTGTTCTGTATGGACTTTTCTGTCTTTCTGTGCTGTTGAGGAGGGGGGATCTCCCAATTCCAGACCAGATTCCCTGTTTGGAACCCTAACTATGCCCCCACACATCCTCAGGCTCTCACTAACCAAGAATGAGTATTCTTTATGGATACTTGCCAAATGAAAGATCACTGGGCTAAAGGAAGCTGCAGAGAAGTTGATGTTTTGGCAGATTTTGCTCATTGGAGCAAGGTTAATTCAGTAACCTCCACCACACTTCCTTTGAAGAGGGAAAATTTTAGCAACTGAAAGATTCTTAAATCTTTGTTAGCACAGAATCTGACAGGACATTACTGAGACAAGATACTCCTGTCAAAGATGAAAAACTATTTGGCTGTAAATCTCCTTCCCTTTTTAAGAAGCCCAGTGTGCAATCTGGAAAACTCTAGAGGACATCCCACTTACAGGAAGAAGGACCTGTGTGACCTGTTAAATCTCACCCCACTTCCATTTTCAGTGATACTTTTAGGGTACCATGGAAACCAAGTTGCTGTTGAGATATCCTTCCTTTCTGGGGAATGGGGCTACATGACTAATATCTTCCTACATGTGACTTTTGCATGTGCTTGGAGAGTCACGTAGACAAAAGAGATATCTTGGTTCAAAATTGAGATTATTCCTGTGGCCCCATAAAATATATGTTTTATGTTTTTTATTCTAGTAATTTCCCTTTTCCCTTTTAAGAGTTTATCCTAGGGAAATACTCTGATTTGCTGACAAATTCCATCATAGCATTTGTTAGAGTAGTAAAAAAAAAAACTAGAAGCAACTTGTATTTGTCTCACATTAGAGGAGTGGTTATATAAAGCATGGTATAGTGATTGGATAAAATACTATGCAGTCACTGAAAATGATGATTACCAGAAGTTTTTACACCAACATATATGGGAAGATGCTAATAATATCATGTGAAGTTTTTTATAAAGTAAGATATAAAATTGCATATCCTGAAAAATATCATATAAAAAGGGCTGAAGAAACTCTGCCAATATTTTGGCAGTTTGCCTTTATAAGGTTTCCTGCCTTTTAACATTTTTCACTGCTTTCCAAAATTTCTACATGATTGTTTTATTTGATAAGGAGGGGAAAAATAGGCAATTGCTCTTATTCTTTTAATTTTTTCCCTGTTTGAACCTCATATTCATTAATAGAAAATTAAACTAGATAACTTCTTAGATCTTCCTCTTTTTCTATTATTCTTATAATGTATGAAAGCTGTTACTTCATTACTTTATGTTTTGGACTAAGGATGAGCTTTCAAGAAACTTAGAGAAAAATAAAGGAAGAGGGTGCCAAAAAGCAATTTAGACTATTTGAATAATTATAGAGAATCTGGGGCTAGATCCCAAGGGGAAATTTTATTAATAAATAAAAATTATTGGCATCTGCAGATATGTTTTTTCATCCATTTTCTCGTTCCTTCCTGTCTCTATCCAACTGTCTAGCCTGTGTGTTGTATAGAAAATATAGTCAGTAAAAGTCAACATTCTTTACCTGCTTACTGTAGTTTGTGGTTGGCCATAAAGCATCCCTGGTAGAGATAATGTAGATAATGTTTAACTGGCTGTGAGAAAAAAGACAATACTATATTTGACATACCTCTTTTTCTTTTTTCCCCTAAATTTTAAACTTTTTATTTTGTATGGAGATATAGTCAATTAAGAGTGTTGTGGTAGTCTCAGGTGAACAGCGAAGGGACTCAGTCATACATACGCGTGTATCCATTCTCCCCCAGATCCTCCTCTCATCCAGGCTGGCATGTAACATTGAGCTGAGTTCTCTGTGCTATACACCAGGTCCTTGTTGGTTATCCATTTTATTTTTATTTTTTTATTTTTTATTTTTTAATCTTTTCATTGTTTTAAAATTTTATTTATTTTTTAATTGAAGAATAATTGCTTTACAGAATTTTGTTGTTTACTGTCAAACATCAGCATGCTGGGAAAACTGGTCAACCACCTGTAAAAGAATGAAACTAGAACACTTTCTAACACCATACACAAAAATAAACTCAAAATGGATTAAAGATCTAAATGTAAGACCAGAAACTATAAAACTCCTAGAGGAGAACATAGGCAAAACACTCTCCGACGTAAATCACAGCAGGATCCTCTATGACCCACATCCCAGAATTTTAGAAATAAAAGCAAAAATAAACAAATGGGACCTAATGAAACTTAAAAGCTTTTGCACAACAAAGGAAACGATAAGCAAGGTGAAAAGACAGCCCTCAGATTGGGAGAAAATAATAGCAAACGAAGCAACAGACAAAGGATTAATCTCAAAAATATACAAGCAACTCCTCCAGCTCAACTCCAGAAAAATAAATGACCCAATCAAAAAATGGGCCAAAGAACTGAACAGACATTTCTCCAAGGAAGACATACAGATGACTAACAAACACATGAAAAGATGCTCAACATCACTCATTATCAGAGAAATGCAAATCAAAACCACAATGAGGTTATCCATTTTAAATATAGCAGTGTGTACATGACCTTCCCAACATACCTCTTTTTCTCCTCTAATTCTAACCACCATGATACAGCATGTTTCTTTTTGAAGCATGTCAGTTTTCCCTGGGGAAAGTGTCAGAAAAGAAGTCAGTGACTCAAGGTCAATCCAGATTTCCCTTTCTGAAAGAGTTTTCCTCGAAGTTCCCCCTTTTCAAATAAATTCTTTAGAAATGATTGGTGATGCAATGCTAAACTCTTCATTGCATGATCAACCCCAACCTTGATAGTTTATACAAACATTTGACAGCTTCTGACTCAGCCATCTTCTCATGCAGGGAAAAAGTCACACCTGAATGCTGTTCTAAACTGAGAGCTCAGGAAGGAAAACTGGAGGGAAATTGCCTTGGGCAACGAGAACCAACTCACCCCGGGAAGGGAGGAGTAACAAGTAGGGTGAAGGGACCTGAGTATGACCTTTGCCAAAAAGAGACATTCATTGTTGTGCTTGTCTGGGCTCCACCCTGGGATGTGATCCCTGTGTGTGGTCTCACGGTCATTCATAGTCATGCAATGTGTGCCTCACCCGCTGTGGTTCCTGATTGCTTTCTAAGTGGCAGCCAAGAATGGCAGAGGGAAAAGTTCTTTCTGTTGCATCCTAGGCCCCTCAGTGTCTCCTTCCTCCTGATTCCCACGCCATCTCCAGTATACATCCTTAAATACCTACTTCCGCTTCGCTCCTTCGTCATGTTGACCTCCTTCTTGCTTCAGAGCCTAGCATGCTGGTTAATAGGGACCACAGAGGTCTGAGCAGGTATTAACGTCTTGGCAAAATCAGGCTTTTTTTAGTCTGCTATTCCTTTTGTTACCATGTCAAATAAAAAGGCACCAAGAGGCAGGAGACAGGTAATGATACACATGGTGTTTTTTTATATTCATAATTTTGTTTATTTATTTTGACTGTGCTGTGTCTTCATTGCTGTTCAGGCTTTTCTCTAGTTGCAGTGCTCAGGCTTATGGCGGAGGCTTCCTTGTTGCAGAACACAGGCTTTAGGGCGTGCGGGCTTCAGTAGTCACGGCTCCCAGGCTTTTGAGCACAGGCTCAATAGTCGTGGCCCATGGGCTTAGTTGCTCCTCAGCATACACATGGTGTTTTGATAACTCTGTGTTGTGACTTGGCATCGACATGCAAATGAGTTGTGGCTTTGGGTTTTAACGCCCTGGTGATTGTCCTCTCAAGGTGAGTTTGTCTGTACCCTTTCTTATTTAATCCAGATCTGGCCTCTGTTCTAGTGATATTATTTCTCCTAGCCTCTGTAGAGTCTGCAGCATACTAATCATGTCCCCTGTCCCTGTTAGAAAAATAAATGTCCTAACCTCAACACCCCTGACTTGAAAGCCAGCCCGCATATAAGCTGTTTTCGGATTTCAAAATTGTAAACAGGCAATTCCTTGTTTGTTTTATTTTTGTCATTTAGTAGTATGCAGAAATTTTCCCCAAAAAGCTGTGGTCATTTAAGTAGAAATTTGATCAAAGATGTTATTGATGTGATATCTGGGAATAAATGTGCAAATGCTCTATTTGCTCAGACTCTGCTTTGGGTTGTATTTTAAAGTAGAGTAAATGAGGTTGAGTCACCAACAGGATGTTGCATAGCTGGTGACCATTCTAAACTCCCTCCTACCCCTTCTCCTCTTCCTCTTGTTTCCTCCACCTGCAGGTTGTAGATGAGCATGAGAGTGTGGAACAGAGTCGCCGAGCACAAGCTGAGCCCATCAACCTGGACAGCTGTCTCCGAGCTTTTACCAGCGAGGAGGAGCTAGGGGAGAACGAGATGTACTACTGCTCCAAGTGTAAGACCCACTGCTTGGCAACCAAGAAGCTAGATCTCTGGAGGCTCCCCCCCATCCTGGTATGTTACAACCCCACCTCAGAGAGTAGCAGTCTAGCTTGAAGGAAAGTTGTGAACAAATAAGAATCTTTGAGAATCATCTTTCTTGCCAGAGTGTTTAAAATGCTTTTGCTGGGAATTCCCTGGCAGTCCTGTGTTTTGGACTCGGTAGTTTCATTGGCAGTTCAGTCCCTGGTCAGGGAACTAAGATCCCACAAGCCACGCAGTTCACCCAAATATTTACATACATAAATCACTTTTGTGGGGTACACAGACCTGAATTGTCCTACAGATGTTTACTAGTTCTGTATCCTAAAGAGGGTACAGCCTCCAAGGGAAGAGAAGTCATATGGACCAGTAACTGCAGTTGAGTGAGACATGCGAGAAGTGCCCCAAGTGGTACAGCCTGGTGAAGTTGAACTTCAGGAGAATGTGAAAGCACTGCTAGCTCTAGGGAGAGAGGAAGCTTGAGGCTCGCGCTTTACAGACTGCAGAAGCGCAGCAGAGCCTGAGCCCCAGTCCCGCTGCGCTTGGTCATATAGGCACAGACACTGCTGAATCAAATGTGCGTGCACCAGGTACGCAGGCGCTAATGTGTTCTTTCCGATGTGATGTACTTCTGCCTTCTCCATTCATGGATTAGGAGACTCTCCTGTTGATTGTCAAGAGTTGGAAGTGTCAGTTCTTCCTGTTCATTTAAGAAAGTTTTTTCCCATAAGGGAGGAAATCATATTGATAACCAGACCTTGTGTCTATTTTTTTATTCATATCTTCTTCCTACCACTCTGTGAGACTGAATGTAGACAAGAACAACTTCCCAGGGAAGGAAGCACAAGAAATTATTAACAGGGATTGGCTAGCTCCAGGGATAGCTTCCCTGGTAGCTCAGCTGGTAAAGAATCCACCTGAAAATGCAGGAGACCCCAGTTCAATTCCTGGGTCAGGAAGATCCCCTGGAGAAGGAATAAGCTCCCCACTTCAATATTCATGGACTTCCCTGGTGGCTCAGCTGGTAAAGAATCCACCTTCAATTCTGGAGACCTGGGTTTGATCCCTGGGTTGGGAAGATCCCCTGGAGGTAGGCATGGCAACCCACTCCAGTATTCTTGCCTGGAGAATCCCCACGGACAGAGAGGAGCCTGGCGGCTACCGTCTATGGGGTCTCAGAGAGTTGGACATGATTGAGCGACTGTCCCACACAGGGGTGGGATGCTGAGCAGAGGGGCAGGCTTGGGAACAGGTAGGTGGGGAGGGGTAAGGTGGGAGTGAGGTGTGTAGTTAACATGGAGTTATCTTCATAGATTTAAAACATCTAGTTTGATGAATTTTGACAATTATTTATACTCATATGACCATCACATAAAATATATCACATATCATGAAGTATCAGTATTTATAAAACTGTGTTTTTCAGACAGGAGACTCAGGTTCAATCCCTGGGTTGGGAACATCCCCTGAAGAAGGAAATGGAAACCCACTCCAGTATTCTGCCTGGGAAATCCCACAGACAGAGGAATCACTCTGGCAGGCTACAGTCAGTCCATGGAATCACAAAGAGTCAGACATGACTTACCAACTGAACACAAAGAATAATGAGGAGTAAATGTTACGTTGATAGCTTGATGGGCTTTTGTTACATCCACACACCAGCATGGCTCTTAGAGAGGGATTCTCTTTCTGTAAATAGTAAATAGTTAAGCATTTGGGATAGAGGTAGCCACCCAAATATCTGTGCCCACAATCAGTTCAGTTCAGTCACTCAGTTGTGTCCAACTCTTTGTGACCCCATGGACTGCAGCATGCCAGGCTTCCCTGTCCATCACCAACTCCTGGAGCTTACTCAAACTCATTTCCATTGAGTCAGTGATGCCATCCAGCCATACCATCCTCTGTCATCCCCTTCTCCCACCTTCAGTCTTTCCCAGCATCAGGGTCTTTTCCAATGAATCACATCGGGGGGCCAGAGTATTGGAGTTTCAGCTTCAGCATCAGTCCTTCCAGTGAATATTCAGAACTGATTTCCTTTAGGATTGACTGGTTGGATCTCTTTGCAGTCCAAGGGACTCTCAAGAGTATGCTCATGATAGGGAGCATAATAACACTGTGTTTAAGCCTGAAGGAATTCATTGCTTTTGGAAAAAAAGAGAGAAGTCAGAAAGGAGAAGGGAGATTGTTATGCTCTTCAGGACAGTGAAACCCCCTGATCGCAGCCAACAGAAATGTTAAGAAAGGAGAGGCCTCCTGTTGGAGGCTGAGTAACTTTCATCTGTTAAAAACGCCCCCACTTTTCTTCAGATGATTCAGTCTATAGTATTCTAGCCTCGTGTATTTGTGAATGGATGATATTGGAGAGAGGTAAAGGTCAGTGAGAGTCACAAGCCCAGAGGACATGGAAGAAGAGGCTCCTATGATGTTAAAGACATTTGGGAGAGAGTTTGGATATACGCTGATTATGATATTAGGGGGATTACCATTCTAGCCACATAGCTAAAGGGCAGTGGCCTCTTAACTAGGTTACATAAGAAAATATATTCTTTTGGGGGGAAAAGACATATTTTTGGAACATTTACATATGTTTTAGACTCTGTTTTTTTTAGTGTCTATTTTGTATCTTCAGAACATGTTAATGCAACTGTTTTCTGTTCTCCAGATTATTCATCTCAAACGATTTCAGTTTGTAAATGGTCGATGGATAAAATCACAGAAAATTGTTAAATTTCCTCGTGAAAGTTTTGACCCTAGTGCTTTTCTGGTGCCGAGGGACCCAGCTCTCTGTCAGCGTAAACCACTCACCCCCCAGGGGGATGACCTCTCTGAGGCCAGGATCCCCGCAGGAGAGGTGAAGAAAGCAGACGCTCAGAGCTCCGCTGGGGAGGACGCCGTGCTCCTGAGTAAGAGCCCGTCCTCACTGAGTGCCAACATCGCCAGTAGTCCTAAAGGTGAGGAGCCCAAGCCTCACTCGGGGTTGGGGGGCCTTCCTGGACCCCTCTAGGCTGCACGTTTCCCTCCATCTTCCACTCTAGAGCAACAACTTGGTTGTACCAGGATCCTTCTGGACTCAGACCTGTCTACATTTGAGCTGTGTGACTTTTAGCAAGAGATATAGCCTCACTAAATCTCTCTTCTCATTCATAAAAAGAAAAAAATACTAAGTTCACAGAGTGAGAAATTGATACATCAAGAGTTAAGCACTGTAGAGACTTCCCTGGTGGTCTAGGGGTGAAGAATCCACTTGCAGTGCAAGGGTCCAGGCTTCAGTGCCTGGGGGGGGGACTAAGCTCCCACCTGCTGCAGAACAACTAAGCCCAAGCACCTCCACTGCTGAGCCCGGGCACTGCAAGGAAGGTCTCTCGTGCCGTAGCCAGGACCCAGTGCAGCCAAATAAATAAATATTAATAAAATGGAGAGTAAAGCACTTTATATAACGCCTGGCATTTGGTGATTATGAATGATAGTTGTCATCCTTATTTCCTTATATCAGGGGTTCTCAAAATAAAATTTGGGGAAACCCCTAGAGGGTGCCTGAGATCTTTTCTGAAGATCAAAACTGTTTCCATAAAAATACTGAGTATTTGGGAATTCCCTGGCAGTCTGATAGTTAGGACTCGGCACTTTCACTGCTGTAGCCCCAGGTTCAGTCCCTGGTAAGGAAACTAAAGATGCCACAAGTCACATGGTGCAGCCAAAAAAAAAAAGACCAAAAGCTAAGTATCTGCCTTTTCACTCTCATTCTCTCACAGGTTGACTTAGAGCCAACATATATGTGATATTGTCAATGAAATATATGTGTCTTGTGTTTCTCAAACTCCTCAATTTTAACTTCTAATACAGTAAATATATAACATGGTAAATATTGATAAACGGAACTCAAAAAAACAAAAGTTCTCAAGATCCTCAACAATTTTTAAGGGTATACAAGGAAGTCAGGAGCTGTTTGAGATCTGCTCCTTTGCAGGATTGTTGTGAAAGGTAGAGATAATAAAGTTTCTGATGTCATGCCTTGTAGGAGTAAGTGCTTGATAATTTGTGGTCATATCTTTTAATCTAAAGAAGAATATATATATTTGTCAAACCCCTTCATCTAATATTATTTTGAACTGAACTGCCCTAAATCATCTTTCTGCTCTTTTTCTAAGTCCGTACTTACTGTACTTTACGTTTTCAGGATATTGCTGCCTTGAGAGGGTTGGCATTGAGGAAAACAAGAATGTAACTTATTGGCCACATAATAGGAGTAAAGCCTAGCCAGTCAGGATGCCCCTGTCTTTATCTTTTTGTGTACACTTGTGCAGTTGAGTGCAGAGTTAGCTTTTCGTAGCTGGTTTAACTTGTGACATTTGGATTTATCTTTTCTTCCCTTTCACAGGTTCACCATCTACATCAAGAAAAAGTGGAACCAGCTGTCCCTCCAGCAAAAACAGCAGCCCTAACAGCAGCCCTCGGACTTTAGGGAGGAGCAAAGGGAGGCTCCGCCTGCCCCAAATCGGCAGCAAAAACAAGTTGTCGAGTAGTAAGGAGAACTTGGACGCCAGCAAAGAGAACGGGGCTGGACACATTTGTGAGCTGTCTGATGCCTTGAGCCGAGGGCACGTGCTGGGGGGCAGCCAGCCTGAGCTGGGCACCCCGCAGGACCACGAAGTAGCTTTGGCCAATGGATTCCTTTGTGAGCCTGAGGCGTGTGGCAATGGCTGCAGCAATGGCCAGCTTGAAAACCACAGTGAGGAAGACAGCACTGACGACCAAAGAGAAGATACTCATGTTAAGCCTATTTATAACCTATATGCAATTTCGGTAAGTGGTTTCTTGTATGATTTTTTTTTGGTATCAAAAACTCACTTTACTATAATTTTTTTTTCTGGAAATATAAAATATAATGAGCAAAGGACATTTCTGTCAAACAGAGACTTCAAAAGAACGATATAGTCTGGTGCTTTTGCTCTACTCACTTATCTTTTTTTTTTCCCCCATTTATTTTTATTCGTTGGAGGTTAATTGCTTTACATCTTGTATGATTTTTAGAATGATCTACCTTTTCAGTGGTTGGTTTGTTCATCTTCATTCATTCACCATTTTTTCAGAGCCTGCTCGTTTGCTGGGCATTGAGCTTGGTGATAGACTAAGTAAGCAGTAAATATCTTGGCCTTTTGGGTGGAATCCAAGATGCTCACAGTTTAATAAAGGGAACAGTCATGTAATCTAGGTGGAGTGACAGGCTTAAGCTGTTCACAAGTGTGTATTTCTGAGGGAGTTTTGCTTTCCAAAAATAATTACAACAATAGAATGGTAAGATTCAAAGTTTTAAAATTTTCAGTTTTCCTTCTTGGTTTGCTTTTGGAAGAAGGAAAACACTTTTCCTTGGATTGCATCCTGAGTATTGGCCTGGCCTGAGTATTGTCAACTACTAACACCCCTCCACTTTCTCCTCTCTTACAGTGCCATTCAGGAATTCTGGGCGGGGGCCATTACGTCACTTATGCCAAAAACCCAAATAGCAAGTGGTACTGTTACAATGACAGCAGCTGTAAGGTAAATGTCCCTGATCTTTTAATAAAAGAAACAGAAATATCAACAGATCTAGAGGACGTTTGTTGAAATAATGGATTTTCTCCAGAATTATTATTGTTTAGTCACTAATTCATGTTCTCCTCTTTGCAGCTCCATAGACTGTAGCACACTAGGCTTCTCTGTCCATGGGATTCTCCAGGCAAGAATGCTGGAGTGGGTTGCTATTTTCTTCTCCAAGGGATCTTCCTAAACCAGGGATCAAACCTGTGTCTCCTGCATTGGCAGGCAGATTCTTTACCACTGAGCTACCAGGGAAGCCCTTTCTCCTGAATAGGAAGTAGTTGTTTCTATTAGAATCTGTATATAGATGCCTTCAATATAAAGGAATAAAAGTGACAGGCAGGAAATTCCCTGGCAGTCCAGTGGCTGAGACTCGTCACTTTCACTGACAAGGTCCTGGGTTCCATCCCTGGTCAGGGAACTAAGATCCCACAAGCCACACAGCATGCCCCTTCACCCCAAAAAAGTGATACGCAGAGCAGAAAATGAAAACAGTGAAAAAATAGAAGGTATTGATTAACAAGAAAAAGTTCCTATCTTTTGAGCTATTAGAATTTGATGTGTTTGTTTTCTATCATTCTTTTGACTTGTCTATGGCCTGTATATTTTCCCAAAAACAAACATTGAAAATAATGCGTCTTATTTTAGGGGCAGATATGAGGTAGCCAAAATATTAAGCTGATTGGAAACCATCCGTTTTAGTCATGAAACAGGGTTGGTCCCCCCTTCCCTGGTGAGGATTTAGAGTCAGCATGTGTGCTGTGTGCTGAGTCGCTCAGTTATGTCTGAACTTTGCTACCCTATGAACTGGGGCCCGCCAGGCTCTTCTGTCCATGGGGATTCTCCAGGCAAGAATACCGGAGTGAATTGCATTCCCTCCTCCAGGGGATCTCCCCCACCAGGGATTTAACCCAGATTTCCCGCATTGCCGCAGATTATGTCTGAGCCACCAGGGAAGCCCGGCTTTTTTGTTAAAGACTTTTCTTGCTCCTCCAGGAACTTCACCCTGATGAAATTGACACCGACTCTGCCTACATTCTTTTCTATGAGCAGCAGGGGATAGACTATGCACAATTTCTGCCAAAGATCGATGGCAAAAAGATGGCAGACACAAGCAGCATGGATGAAGACTTTGAGTCTGATTACAAAAAGTACTGTGTGTTACAGTGAAGCTACCACTCTGGCTGCTAGGTAGATTGGTGATGAGGGAGATGACTCCCCGTAGCTGACATTTGGCAAAAGCGTCGCTGAAAGGCAAGCTCAATATGTACTTATTTTATCCTGTGACCCTGAAGCACAAAATAAAAAAAAAACTAATTAAAATAGCAGTTGACATGCCAGTAGTAATAATTTTGTTTGGAAGTGTCTCACATAAGCTCCCTGGTAGAGAGCTTTCAGGCAGAGCCCACCATTAGCCTGTAAACAAAAGGGTTTGGCACCAGCCACCTGGGACCAAATAAGAACTAAATTGTGCTTGTCCAGATACGAACAACCCTGTAGTGAATATAGTTTACCAATAATCATAACAGAATACTACAAATGTCCTTGGAGTCAAAGTAAAACAAAAAATTGTAGTGTTGTCTGGGGACGACATGATATGCTACCTCCTTTTTCCTGAAGTTTTATTCCATTGTAGCAACTGACACGATGGAGAAAGCAAGATCATGAAGGCGTGCAAAGGATTCTTACAGCATGGACACAGATTTTTCTTTCAATTTACTTTTTAAACCATTTCCCACTCTTTCTATGTCTTCATCGATTTTTCTTTTTGTTGTTGTGTTTGTGTCTAAGACACAGCCAGTCATTGTAGTAGAGACATATTTAAGTGGTCAGTCTGAAAGGGAGGCTCTCTTAAGAGCTGCGTGCCTTCTCCCCAGGGCCTTGGTTGGGAGACCCTGTAGGGAAAAAAAAGGATCGCGGGAGATCCAGCTAAAATAAAATAGCCCTCCAGATAGAGGCGGCTTGCTTTGAGGGTACTTAAAGTGCCCTCAAAAACATACCCCCCAACTGCTGAGAGTGGGAGGGGAGTGGCGGCCGACATTGACACCATCCTTCCATGCAGTGTTGCACAGTGTCTGAGAGGGAACAGGGCCACAAAGCTAGATGGTGTTTTGCAGTTCGTGGTTGTTTGTTCTTTGTTTCTTTGTTTTGCACTTTAAAAAAGAATATGTGCAAATGAACTTTTCAAAAATTGTTCATATTTGATGGCTGTAAGGGCTATACATTAACTTGATGGGGGTGTTTCCCCCTATTATATTAAATTTAAAAACAAAACACATCCCAAACGTTGCTAATGTATAAGTATTTTTAATGCAGTTGGGGGATTTAGGAAGTAAACTTTTTGTTTGCATCTCCATTTGCTTTTTTTTTTTTAATAGTACTGGTCATCTAAAGGTATTTCTTTGCTCACTTCATTTTATCCTCCAATAATTCAAGACTGGAACAAAAATATAAATGTTATTTATTTCAGGCAGCATTTTTTTCCTGTGTTGTTTCTAAATATATATTCAAGGTAAATATTTCACTTTTTTTATTCATCTGGACCCTGGAAGTTGATTCTCATTAACTGTCAGATTCCATTACCCTTCCTTCCTCATAGATAGTAGGTACCAATGTAATTAAGCGTTTGTGTTTTGATACCTAAGGTCGATTACTAACCAGTTCTCAGAGCATTTACAAAGGTAAATGGCTGAGTTGAAAGCCTATTCAGAATAAGACTATAATTGCAAGTAGGAAGGAGTGGCCTAAATGCTATAATATAATGAAGTCAGACAAAATGCAGACTTTAGAATTTCATGATTCTCGGTGTATAAAATCTGTCCATTCCTAACTGGACAAGTCCCATGAAAAAGTGGAAGATTTTAAATAATTTCCTTACAGATGTTTTATTTAAGCAGGTAGCACAATCTACTAATGTTGTTTGATCTGTGTTTGTTACATTGGTTGTAATTAATTTTTTTAATTCATGACTAGCAGAAAATTTATTAAATTAACTAACTACATTCACCTTGTAAATTACTGTATAAAACTTGTTGACAATGCACTGACTTTAGAAAGATGTTAATGTACATAAATAGAGTGTAAATAAAATAGTGTTGATGTACTGAAATATGAACTGTATAAAAAAGTATTGGTAATTGTATATGGAGTGTACCTGTTTCTCTGTAACTATTATCCAAACAAATTAAATACTGTGGATGCATCTATGTGCTCTTTTTCCTCTATACAAGTAAACACAAAAATGTCAAATTATTTAGCCTTCCTCTCTGTGACCCTGTTTTAATTCTGCTATTTGAATACCTATCTGACTTACAGAGTTGGATGTTCCATCTCTGAGAGAATGGAAGGTGTGTTCAATGTAGAACAAGGTACTTGCAGCAACCAGATAAATTTGCTTCACATCCCTGTTAGGAAATTGTTTGGAAGGCACTGAAAGGGTTCAGGAGAAGAATAGCTTGTTCATTTGAAACTGAGAATTGAAGGAGTTTTCGCAACAGTTTTCATGCAGATTAAGGAATAAGGTGAAGAAGAGGTGCACTTCTTACACGATGCCTGGAGATGATCCTTGGTTTCTAGGGGACGCTGAGAAACCAGGGATATATCCCAGGTTGTGAGAGGTCTCCAGGGAGCCCATTGACAGTGTTAAGAAGAGTTGAAGATTTAGAGTTATGGGACCTTCACGTTCAGTCCTGTTTATTTACCTTTAAAATCAGAATACCTGCCTCTTGGGCTCATTTTTAGGAAATGAGGTATACAAATGCCTGACATGGTTTCTTGGTAAGTGCTCAGTGAATCTGAAATCCTACCCCCATGAGATTCAGTCCTATTTGACAAGGAGATTTATGTATTCGCTTATTACACTGACTCTCAAAGAATTTAATCTCTCTCTGCTTACATTCTCTAAAACACAGGAATAGACATTAAAAATGTATAGAATGAAACATGTTGAATCAGCAGCAGTGGTAGCTTGTTTAAGGAAATGAACAAACAGAAAAAGGATCCAAAATGAAGCACCACTTCTAAAGTGCAGTCTGTGTCTCTGGCTTTTTAAATGACCACCTTGAATATCTTCATCCTTGTATCTCAAACATTGTTCCTGGCACACAGGAAGTCAGTAATATATAAAATAATGTTTTAATGAAAAAATAAGAATAAAGGAAAACTTTGGAAAGAAGCAGCATAGAAAGATGGGTGGGTGTTTCACTTCTAGTTCCTGCATGGCCCTGTAAATTGAGAATGGTCATCAGCCTCCCAGCCTCTCTGGCTAAGGCAATTCAACATGGAATCTCTCTTCCACGTGGTGGCATTGCTCACTTAATTGTACATACCATTGAACAGGAGCAAGTAGATGAGTTGGCTTTTTTCCCCTAACTGTTTTAAAGGCCAGAGCCAGAACGTGCAGCTTAGGGAACAAAGATCCCAGCTTTCCTCAGTGACATATCACCAGGTAGGTAGGTTCCTTAGTATTGAAATCACGAGGTCAAAAATGTACCTACCTCTGATGAGACCCATAAAAGATGGTGCAATAAAAAAGAGGCTGCCAGGCTTCCCTAGTGGTCTAGTGGTTCAGAATCCACCTGCCAAGGCAGGGGACATGGGTTTGATCCCTGGTTTGGGAAGATCCCACCTGCTTTGGGGCAACTAAGCTGTTGTGCCTAGAGCCCGTGCTCCACAACAAAAGAAGTCACCGCAGTGAGAAGCCTGCGCACCTCAGTGAAGAGTAGCCCCTGCTCACCTCAACTAGAGAAAACCCTCAAGCAGCAATGAAGACACAGGGCAGCCAGAAACAAATCCTTAAAAACAAATGAAAAAAAGCTGCCTTTAGATTTCGTAGCAGTGGAAAGCAAGGTAATAAATGGTGCAGCAGTTGCACATCCAGAGGCCCATAGGGGCTAGGTTGGGAGCAGAGAGTCAGAGAAGCTGGTCCCGCCATGGAGAATGGGGAACAGTGGGGACTGGTGAGTTCTGGGCGCCCATCCCATCTGAAGGCTGCATTTGATTGTTGCCATGCAGAAATGTGGGCTCCAGCGTTACCAAACCTCTTCCACCCCAAAGAGAAGCCAGAAACCCAGGTATTTATATAGAACATCCAATTTAGAAATGTTGGCAGGGCTTTTTTTTTGGTTGTTGTTCATTTGTAAACATCATACTGTCTAAATAAAAGTTATTTGCAAGCCAGATACTAGCCCCCAGTGTTATGCCCTCTGGTAAGTAGAAGGCTTGGAGTCCATTATCAGGGTCAGATTCTGCCTCTTGCCATGTTAAAACTGTGCACTAAAGCAAGCTCTTAATTTTTGTTTTTTCATTCCAAGTGTGTTTATGTCTTCTCTCTTTTATTCTTTTTTTTTTTTTTTTAACTGTTATTTTATATTGGAGTACAGCCAGTTAACAATGTTGTGATGGTTTCAGGTCGACAGCAGAGGGACTCAGCCACATATATACATGAATCCATTGTCCAACGGACTGCCTCCAAATTGGGAAACAAGTATGTCAAGGCTGTATAGTGTCACCTTGCTTATTTAACTTATATGCAGAGTACATCATGTGAAATGCCAGACATCCAGCACAAGCTGGAATCAAGATCGCAGGGAGACACATGAATAACCTCAGATACACAGATGACACCACCCTTATGCCAGAAAGTGAAGAGGAACTAAAGAGCCTCTTGATAAAAGTGAAAGAAGAGAGTGAAAGAGCTGGCTTAAAAGTCAACATTCAGAAAACTAAGATCATGGCATCCAGTCCCATCACCTGATGGCAAATAGATAAGGAAACAATGGAAACAGTGACAGACTTTATTTTTGGGGCTCCAAAATCACTGCAGATGGTGACTGCAGTCATGAAATCAAAAGATGCTTGCTCCTTGGAAGAAAAACTATAACAAAGCTAGACAGCATATTAAAAAGCAGAAACAGTACTTTGACAACTAAGATCCATCTAGTCAAAGCTATGGTTTTTCCAGTAGTCATGTATGGATGTGAGAGTTGGGCCATAAAGAAGGCTGAATGCCGAAGAATTGATGCCTTTGAACTGTGGTGTTGGAGAAGACTCTTGAGAGTTCCTTGGATTGCAAGAAGATCAAACCAGTCAATCCTAAAGGAAATCAACCCTGAATATTCATAGGAAGGACTGACGCTGAAGCTCCAATACTTTGACCACCTGATGCAAAG